GTTGAGTGATCCGGACGAAAAAGGAACTGCACTCAGTAATATTCATCTGTATATGACGTACAGACATGTGAAGAGCATTGGGCTTATGTAATATTTCTTTTAAAGCCCCAGTTTACCTTTCCGCATCATATCATAAGCGAAAAGAGTGTTTATAATGGTGCCAGAACCTGTTAAACCTCTGTAAATACTTGGTTCTGGGATACGAAAAGACATTCCACATGATATCTACCATCTACCACACATAAACAGACATACAGACAGTATAATATACATTCAGATGTTACATTATATACATTTGCACATACATATATTTGTACATTTTACGTTCTACATTTCTCATCAAAGACAGTTTCTCTCCAGAAGTACTGTTTAACTGCATTCTCTAAAGGTAATCATACATCTACACTTATGATTTGCACAGTGAGTCCGAGACAAAAGAAATACTGGTGCCAATTTGGCAATTCTTCAGTCATAATGATTCTACTTTTCAATTTCTGCCTTTGGGTCAATACTAGCATCATATTTAATTAAACAAGCAAGAAGATGATGAAGAGAGAAGATATTCAAATCACATATATAAAGCAAAGATAAGGAAATCACTTTCTGTAATTTGTTATGGAATTTTACAGAATGTTGTGAATCAGTTACGGAGAGCTAGAAAGGCATTAACTTTGTTTATGAAATTGAATGTATGCCCTTCTGGCTACTCAAAAGGTGATTTGTCCAATTTACTTGTCTTTGTTCATTCGCTTCCTGCTCTTAATTTAAAGGTACAACAATAAAACTGTTACAAAGCCATGAATCAAACAAAACAAAAAAAACAAAGAAATTAAACCATCATCATAATCATTTTCAATACTGATGATCAGACAATCAAGAAGACGATAAGATAAACCCCATTACGGATTTTGAAGAATATTAATTATGCTTCGGTGGTATATTAATTTTCATGGAAGAAGGTTGGAAAAGTGACAAACAGAACTTGATAAGTTCCTATGCACCATACATGCATGTTTTCAAGAGAGACTTCACAATAATTTTTGTTTAACCTTACAGGTTGTGTATTCCTTTTAGACTTTTTCATTAGTTGTAGCAGGTATCCTAAATGTATCCCTCACTTCATAGAAATAATCCCGATGGCAGCTTATACGATGAGCTGCCATCGGGATTATTTCTACAAGGTACAGAGCATTTATCGTCATTACCAAGTCCTTTGGAGAGGAGTTAAAGCTGTTGGTCCCCTGGGTTCTTACAAGCTAACAAAAGCTTCTTAGCAATCAGGAAAAAACCAACCAACCAACTTTCAATATCCTGTGGCACTCTGAAAGAGCAAATGTAATTTCAAAAAGACATTACGAAACACATAAAGTCTGCAGGAACAATTTAAGCTTGAAGGTAGCCTTCAAATATAAACAATTAATTAATACCCTGCACAATAACTCTATTCATATATAATTAGAAGGGGGAAAATTCATATCTTTGATCAAAATTATTAAGATACCCTTTCATTTCCAGGTACAGTGTACATTTAAATAGACATTTGATGAAATATTTAAATTGCCTACATACATGCAAAAGGTGATAGAAAAGAAACGTGTGTCTGGAAAATATGAATGATTACGATTCTTTACATTATGAAACAGGAAATATTTAATCTCACTTCATATAATACCTTCTGATGCAGATCAAGACAAAAGTGGAATTACTGACATTAGAGTTTTTTGCATATTCAACACTATTTACACTTTTGCCTAATTTTTATCTGACATTTGATTAAACCCTCACAAAAAAATATTTCTGACATTAAGATATAATTAGTGCCTCTCAATACAGCCTTTATGTAATATTTCATTATCCTCCCTCTCCGTATTAAAGGAGATAAGGGATTTTCTTCTCTTTTTTTCTCTAATGTATTTTTATTTAAGTTCACATCAACTTCACGTCTCTAAATCAATGCATTCCAATAACACTAAGTACAATTATGCGGTTTAATACATCAACATTTAGTTAATAAATGCAATATTTGACATTCATGAAAGAACTTTGACAAGCAATACTGAATAATAAAAATTATAATATTCAAACATCTTGTATGTACATCATTAGTCAATGAAAGTCCAAATACCTCCAATAGTACAAGGTACATTAATCATTAACTTTTGTTCTTCAATTCAAAGACCTGCAAACTACTTTCTTATTCAATCAAGAAATTAATACCTACTTTTTTGCTTTCTTTTTAGAAAAAAAAGTGCATTTAGCTTTAATAATGAATGCATTATGGCATCCTCAGTCTGAAGTTCATTAATATATGATCCTAAGAATACTGTAATTCGCTAGAAAATGTTCAAGTCCACAAAAATATATAGAATTGTCAAAAAATTGCAGTGGAGTAAAACATTCATGTAGTTCAGTCAAAGAGTCCATAAAAATAACTCAAATTTCTCAAAGACTGATGTGTTAACAACGTATAGCACCAGTAATATTGTGGTTGCACTATCGAGTAATACAGTTACATCAATCAAAATATGATATATACATGTAGTTCTTGTTTTCGCTTACTACAAACAAAAACATAGACTGACTTAGATAATAAAAATGAACAGATATATTCTCTTTTATACGCATTGCACTAGGAAGCCATTCTTAAAAAATAACATACAATTACATGAGTATCTATATCATCTTACAAGCATCACCAAAACATTGATGTCTTTGCATACCGATATCCATCTGGCAAACTATGCTACATCTGTGTATTAAAAAAAGAATGATTTTCCCCGCTTTTTAAAGGGAATGTTAAGAGAAGGTTGTTAGTAAAGTGTATGAAAATAACAGGCGTTATAATTATATGATGCTCATTTTTCTTTGGCGCAACAGATTTAATCCAAAACTGGTACAGTTCAAAACACACATCCACATGTTTAAGCCACACAGTCATCTGTATTCATGTGTAACGCCTCACAAATGGCTGACACCTATTAAAGTGTGCTCAGGTCTCCCAGGCAGTGAAAATGTGGCCCACCAGACAATTTCTTTGAATCTTGCCTTCAAATATCATAGGTGAACTGTTGATCATAAAGGTGAAGACCACACCGTGTGTGTGATTGACAACACCTGTTATTGTGTAAACATCCGAATGGTGTCAAATTTCCCATAACCACCCATGACTATGGGTCTTTAAAGAGGCTGTAGCATGACGAGACTACATGTCTTTCCCGTGGCCTGACTCAGGGACAATCAAGTTTAATATGACTATGCGACCGCAGTAGGCCTACGTATTCACGTCCGTCCAACATACGCAAAGCCGAAGCGTAAGGAGAACTTTGACCTGTTTCGCGAACGCTAGCACGCGCTGACCCAGTTAACCAAGTCCATTTGTTTATATGCAGTTGTCCAAAGAAGACATAGATGGCGTCAACCAGTATTTCCCATGCTACAGCCATTTTAACCATTCGCATCACCTATCACCACAATTTTGCAATGGTAACCTATACCATCAGTACCCATTAGAACCCACTAGAACTCTGGATTCTTTATCAGCTTGAAGGAGACATCATTATCCATGGATCGAACTGGACATAATCTTATCCTTTGTCGATTTGATAGGCATCCTATACTTTGACTAAGGTACTTGTTCAGTGGGTGGGTCCTCTTGTTGATAAAACCTTGACTTGAAAATTCCAGGAGAATATGGCAGGACATGTTGCCAAACACTGTAGAATTACCCACAAAGGCCCATTCAGCGTATATCTAATTGTGTGTAAACTTGTCTAAACACCACTTGTTGACACAACCTTTAATATGTCTACATACATGTGCATGAACAGTGGCAGAGCGGGCAAGATGGCAAGATGGTCTTTCAACAAACGAATCTCACACAATATCATCAAGCCTGCTAAACATGCACCACACATATACATGTAGGAGCAAAAATATGAATCCGTAACCAAATTCTCTAAGCAAAGCTTGTATGGCTACATGTTACCCTGTCATGTGAGTATAAAATAATTGGAATTCAGGCATGGTAAAGAAAGAAAAAGAGAGATTGTTCTCTACTGTTGTGAGCACCTATAGCTACGTCACTAGTAATAATGTCAAAGACATTTGGGTTTATAATAATAATATTGGCATTTATATAGCACTCTTACAGACATACATGTGTATCACAGCGCTTTACAACATTAGTTAAATAAGTTCAAGTCCACCCTGAAAATATATTTATTTCAATTGTTGTAAACAAGTAAAAGGAACTCAGCATCCTATTTATCTCTTTGCTTTTCTTTTTAAGCGCACAGGGACATACTTTGTAAAGTGTTACGCGCTATATAAAAATTGATTATTATTATTATTGAAGAATTCTAGTTCCCGCAGGATACACGAAGCACCCAATTCCCAGGGGCAATCGGTTAAAGAACCTCAGGGTAATTCTCTAGATGTCTGATTACATGTCATGTAGTAACAACAAACAAATCAGTTATTGGCAGTATCATTGAATGTGGTGTCATACCTTAAAATCAATCAGATCAAATATCAGATTTCAAGACATACCATAAAATCTTGTAAATTATGCATGTAATTCTCTTCTTCAAGGTTTAATTTAAGAACAGACTCAAGCAAATTAGTGATATGAAGTTGATGCATTGCAAATACTCTAATTCATCAGGGTAGCGTTTCTCGAAACCGTCATAAGTACAAGTTCACCGACATCCCATTGAAACGCGTGTTAAACTTAATACACGCGTGTCAATGGGATGTCGGTGAACTTGTACTTATGACGGTTTCGAGAAACGCTGCCCAGGGTATTTGCTATTACTACTACGGTGAAACCTGTCTATAAAGACCACCCAAAGGAGACAAGAAAAGAGGTCTTTATAGGCAGGTGGTCTTTACGTACAGGTTACTTTTGTACATGTTTCAATGAGAAACCATTTTCAAGGGAAACAAAAAAAATGTGGTCTTTGTAGATAGGTGGTTATTTTATACAGGTGGTCACTAAAGCAGGTTTGACTGTATTATCATCACCATGCTATAATCGTACTTCTATGGGCTCAAGAAGAGTACATAAAATGTCAGAATGACAGAGGGTATGGCATCATTTGTTTAGATTGTCGGGAGTAACCTGTACAAGGTGCAGCATATGCATTGTAGCTGCGTTAAATAAACACGGGCAAGGTTTACCTCACGGGTGAGTTGGTTGCCAATTATGACGAGTTGCACGGCCTTTGCAGCACAGCCTGAAAAAGGGGGAAAAAGGGTAAAAGAAATGAAAAAATATTTGTTAACCGTTTCGGGACAATCATTCCACATTTTGTGGTTTGGCTCAATAACTTTTGTTTCAGATTGCCAAAAAACCATACCAGGGGAATGTTTCACAAATACTTAGATCGACTTTAAGTTGGAGTTAACTATGACAGGCTGTTCATGCCACTGGTTGCTCTCACCATTGGTCTCTCAATTATGATCTTTAGATAATATTTTTTCCTTCAAAAAAGCTAAATTCTGTAGATGTGTGACCATGATTTGTACATCCCTTGAGACACCATTGCCAGTAAATGGTGAGAGCAAACAGTGGCATGAACGGCCTGCCATAGTTAAGTCCAACTTAAAGTCAATCCAAGTCTTTGTGAAACACCCCCCAGATACATGAGTAAAAGAGCAAACATTTCTGCATACTCTGCATCCACTTTTCTCGCATGACCATAGTGCATTTCATGCCAGGAATTTTAAAAGGGAAAATAAGCTTTCAATTCATTAAATTGGCAACAAATTGAGAGGCTCTGTGACATCATTTTCTATCAAAATTGGCACTCTGTACACATAAATATTGTTCTTATAGACAATATATATTTTTATCAGGACAATGTAGCAATAAAAGAAAAATAGTATTGTTGCCAATTTGAAGAACATGTGATCGATTTAGCCCTTCAAATAAATCCTGTCCTGGAAGTGATAATGATAATAATAATAATAAAGATAGATTTATTGGGCGCATAATAAACAGAATTTTCTCTTTGCGCTTTACAAACTAACAAAATAAGCAAGTACAAGTATATTTAATAGTTACAAGAACGAAAACGATTGTTAAAGACAATACCGAATGTGCTCATCAAAATGGAAGGGTTTGTTACATCCACTCAGCACGCTAATTTACATAAACAGAGGAATACATGACAATAAGGAAATTACTGAAGGGACATTAATGGAGATTTGTGTATTCAAGGGTTATGTATGTTATTATGCAGTTTCTGAATGATGCACAAAATCTTCATCTTCTTTTTTATCATTTGTTAATGCATAAATAAATGTCACATGAAGTTGAAGAAAGAAAAAAAAGCTACTCTGTAAGTCATTTCATTTCACCATAGCACTCTCTTCCTAGGCAGATTACCGTGTCATATTTGAATGAGATAAAACAGAGCTCAACAGGAAAGATACATCCAAGCCCTAGTATGAAACACCCCTGTCCTACCTTATACTTCCCAGGCATTCTGTCGGCTGTGAGTTCCACGGTGACCTGACTAAACATCTTGATGACCTGTGTCACGCCCTTTGACCCTGCTTCATCCTCCCATTCCAGGGTTAGCTCATAGTACTTTGCAATCGGAACTGCAATTAACTTCTTCAAAGGTATAGCCTGCCATTAATATAAAATAAAACAAAAAACACAACAAATGATAACAACTTTCAAAGATACTTTCTAAGGAACTTCTATGCATAATGTGTCACAGTTCCCTACAGTTCGCTCACAATAAAGTTTAATGGAATCCCCAATAACTATTCCACAAATCATGGTCACAGCGAAACGTGTGGCCCATTTGGATCTTAGCAGGATCTTGCTTTTAAGAGACTGTAGAGCATTCATTCATGGTTTAAGTGAGGAATTATAACAATGAACTTTTTAAAGGGTCAGTTCTTCTTAATAAATAGCCCAAGACAGAACTTGTGGCCCATTTCTAATATTTGTGTACCACCCCAAATATTAGATAATAATTTGAACTAGCCATTGAAAAAACGAAATAGCGCCTTGTAGGAAATATTCCAGCCAATGCAGATGTTTGCTTTTTGTTGGCTTTTTTTTTGTTGGTTATACGACCAGCTGGCCCGTGTATTGTTATTATTAAGTAATTAATTAATTAACAGTCACCATATTTTTTTGAAAGTAGAGCTGAATTGGTATAATCGTATTGGCTAAATTTCATGCATTTCGGGTCTAAATTTACCTTCATAGCAATTTTAGGTCCTAAAAGGGCACTAAAAATGTGCTAAATAAGAAAAAGAGCAATAACCATACACTTTGAAGGTATTTGCGGTCTGAAACAAGAACTCAACTATCCCTTTAAGGAAAGTACGTATTGACTTACATTGCAGTAGACTCTCTTCACTTGTCCAAGATTGATAATGAGGACATCGAATGAGCGATCTAGCACTGCCATGACAATGGCCTTCTCAACCAGAGGTCCACATTCCTGAATGAAAAGAAAATTGCAAGTTAGATAACTCAAGAAAGAAAGATTACCGACAGTCTTTTTCAGGACTCCCCAATCCTCTCCCCTCTCACACATGTTGCAACCGTAAACCTACTGTATATATACATCACCATGCAAGCCGATACTTATAAGCAGCATCTAAGTTGGATCTTGTTTTCAAAATGTTAAGGTTTATTATGAACCTTGTTTCATGGTGAAATCATGATGGCTAGCATTTAGGAGCTTTCAAAGAAATTGTCCATTTAAGAAGTTTCATACATATATTTAGCTATTGTGGAATCAAACAAGAAAGACAAAAGAGTTTGTTGTATCCTATTATACATGTATATGAGATAGATATGATGGTATCAAATGAGAAAAAAAGAATAAATGAAAAGGAACGCCATAAACATATGAACCAGATGATACAGACATAAAATGTGAGTGAGCAAATAAAGCAAGTGAGAGAGGAGACAGACAGGAAAACAGATAGAGAAACAGATAGATAGAAAGCAAAAGAGAGAGATGGGGAAATGAGAGGGAAAGAGAGCAATATGAATAAGGAAGGGAGAGAAAGATAGAGAGATGAATAAGAGAAGAAAGAAATAAGAGATAAGGAGAGAAAGCAGGATAGAAAAGGGGAGAGAGAGAGAGACAGACATACATGGAGAAAGAGAGTAAAATATGAATACAGACAAAAAGAACAATGGCTGGCATGAAAAAAACATGAACACAGATTTTGTTAAAATAAGGCTACTACCAGTTGTTCAAAGATCATTTTCAATTGCAGTATAAGCTGACAATTAATGATTATCTTTAATTTTATATCAATATCACTCCACCTTAAACAACCAAAACAAAACAATGATTTGACCAACCTTGACAAACTGGCAGAAGAAGAGATCACTGCTTTTATCCGACACTTCCTTGGCTGAATCCTTGGCATCATTACACCTCATGGCTTGCCTCTGCAGTCTCTCTGGGTCTCTTTCCATTACAGGACCACATGCTGGTATAATAAGATAAACTTCCATACATGAGTTCCATACACGAGTTGAGACTTTAACTTAAAGCCCCACTGCATTACTTGTAGCTACTTGCTCCCTCTAAATAGAAAACAATGCCTAAGTGGTGCCTGTTGGTCCCCCATGATCCTCTTTTTCTTATGTTAATTGAGAGCTGAGTTGATGAGATAACCCCCTGTCAGTGACCACACTGGGTGGTCTAATCCCCCCTGGCCAAACTAGTGCAGACAGGCTTTAATTCCCCCCCCCCCCCCAAAGGGCCACACCCGTTTATTGAAGTCTATGTGTAAAAAATCTACATAATAACCGATGGGTCTTTTCTTTCCTTCTTTCTTTCTTTCTTCTCTCTTTCTTTCACACTCACACTATACATTTTCATGTGTCTATTAATTTTTTCTACTGATCTTTCTTTATTTATATATTCATCCTTCTATCTATAGTTCCCTCCTCTCTCTGCCTCTTCCTCTCTATTGATATATCCATCTTTTTAATTAATCTATCGTTATATCCATCTCTCTCTCACTCTCTCTTTTTCTCTCCTTTCTAGATATCTTAATCTATCCATCCATCCATATTTGATGCATCTATTCATCTTTGAACTATGGATTTAAATCACAAACCTTCTCTTCTTCATCACTTTCTGTGACATCATATCATGCCAACACCTAGGGGGTGTTTCACAAAGATCCTAAGTTGAACTTATCTCTAAGTAGGACTTAACAATTATGGACAGCCGTTGGCATCTTTAAAAATATTTTGTAAAAGTTATTTTAAAAGGCATAAAAATGTTGATTCAAATCATTCATAATTTCTCTTATCAAGGAGATTTCATGCGCTTAATGTGGAATTCATGAAAATTCTAAAATAGTTGAATTTTTGCTTCTGAATATATTTTATTAAGGCTACAAATGGCTCTCCATAATTTTTAAGTCCAACTTAGAGATAAGTTCAACTTCAGATCTTTGTGAAACACGCGCCTGGACTTAATATTGGAGAATCTATCCATCTTAATACACATTCTGTTTGTGTACTTACCGAGAGATGAAGCGAGCATTCTATGTACCAGTATGTCAGGGTATCTTCTGATGGGAGATGTAAAATGAGTGTACAGCGGTACGTTCAGTGCATAGTGACGATACATTTCCTCATCCTCTAGACTCGCGCAGCAGAAATATCTCGCTTTCTGTATAACGGAAATAAGAACAAAATCAAGATAATCAAGATTATAAGATTTGTTTACACATGATATGGTATTTAAAATCTCCTTAAAAATATATACATATATTGCAGAATATTGCATTTTTGCAGAAAAATATAATTACATAAAGCATAGAGAGTTTTCAGCAAGGTTGAGTCACTAAGTTACATTATTGAAGTATGAAGGACTTTGTGCTAACAAGAAATATCAGTGCATCTTATGCTTTGCACAAAAGTACCAGGATGCCATGCATTTATTTTGCTTAACACGTAATTTTACTAATGACCAGTCATTAGTAAAATCATGTTATAAAACATCATTTTATGAAACAAATAATACACATCATTTTGTTTGGGCATTAGAAAAATTACCCACATTCAAAACAGTCCAAACACCCTCGGCTATCGCCTTGGGTGTTAGACTGCTCCAAAGGTACCTTGTGTGGGTAATTCTTACTAATGCCCTCACTGCTGTGTATTATTGGTATAGTATACCACTCAACCTAATCCCCCCTCCCCCCAAGAAATCTTGAACATTGCATTTGAACTATGAAGGTATTCTTCTCTCTTCCAGAAACAATAACCATTACCTCTATCATGACATTGATATCTACAGTAGTTATTTCATGCCCAAATCAAGCATTTTAAGTCAAATTTCACTCTCGAAAGTGTTGTTTCCGCAGAAGAGGTTATATACATGTATATGTAAACCAAAGTGGTGCATCACAGGATTTTTGAGCTCACCTGCATCGGTTTAGAGTAGAGGACAGTCAGCACCTTCAGCAGACACTTGGCTTGTTCTTCTGATGTACAGTACCTGTTCAGAGAAGCCTAAGGGATGAAAAACAAAAATTTGAAGGAAACTGTATGACATTTGCGAACATTCGTGAACAAAATTGTAAAACCCACTGAGACTAATACTGGATACATGCTCACGAAAGTTATGTAACCATTATTCATGCATGCACCTGTGATGCATTTTATTGAACACAGGTGGAAGTAATCTTTTGAAGAGGGCAAACAAAGAATTACTTCCATGACTTTAGCTGTGTTTATTCCAAAAGGCACAAAGTTGGATTTATCTAAGTTTAAAAGATATGTGGATATTTGGGGTCATATGACCCATGTGCTAACTACGAACTGGTCTATTGATAATAATAATTACAAAGTGAATAAATTATACTAATTATCTTGGGAGGTAATATGTGATTGTTTATATAATATATATAAACATACTGCCCTTTTCTAAAATTTTGGCGATTATTTTGGGGCAATACCGTCAAATATCCCCTCCCCCCTCAAAAAAAAAAGCCTGTCAATTTAAAGACACTTTATTGTGGGAAATTTGACACTTTAACCGATAACGGGTGTTAGCAATCACATGAGTGAACTTAATTTTAAAAAACAACAAGGGGTCTTTCACAAAGCTCCTAAGTCAAACTTAACTCTGAATTGGATTTAAACATTATGAGGAGCCATTTGTAGCCTTTAAAAGAATATATTCAAAAGCAAAAATTTAAGTATTTTAGACTTTTTATAAATTCCACATCAAGAACTTGAGAAATCTCCTCGATAATAGAAAATATGAAGGATTTGAATCAACATTTTATGACTGTTTAAATAAGTTTTACAACACGGCTTTCCATAATTGTTAAGTGCAATGTAGGATCTTGAATTGCGGTGTTTGTGTCAGAATTCTGCAAACATGTAAATGTACATCAATTGGTAATTCCATCAAGCCTTGTGTACGCAAACTATAATGCAATGCACAAAGAATCTTCAAAGATCATGTCTTTAAAGCCCCTCTGCACTAGTTTGGCCAGGAGGGATTCGACCTCCCTGCATGGTCACTGACAGGTGGTTATGTCATTGAATCAGCTCTCAATTAACATAAGAAAAAGTGGATCATGGGGATCAATGGTCACCGATGAGGCATTGTTTGCTTTATAGAGGGCGCAAGTAGCTATAAGTAGTGCAGTGGGGCTTAAGAGAATCTACCCGGCATTCCACATTTTTGTTGAACCTCACCTGAAGCTTTCCAGCTGTTGTTCCATCCATGTCCAGACCAAGACTTTCACAGAGCGTCGCTAGGTCGTCCATCATCTTCTCCTTGGGAGGTGGGTGTCGCCTCAGAAACGCCCTCTGTGGTTCCGCCTTGAAGATTCGGTGAGCTGCCGCCATGTTGGCTAGTAACATGAACTCCTCAACCAATCTGGATACAAAGATAAAATAAGAAATACATGAAAACATGTCTACAAATTGAATATTGTCAAATACAATTTAAAAAATCAGCAAAATAACAATTTATGTCAACGATAAGTCCTTTACAAAAGGAAAAGTGCACAGATCTACATGTATAGTAACATTAAAGGTCAAACAGCCTGTTGCTGTATATGTTTTTCCCCTTTTTTTCTTCAAAAGAGGTCTTATGCATTTGTCAATTTTATTTGTGAGATTTCTTTGCATCTTTGAATATAACTTTGTGTTTGTTTGTTTTATCACCAGAACTCTTTATTTAGAGCTTCCAGAACTAAATTTGGGGAAAGGTCATTTGCCCATGCTGGACCTTACCTATGGGATCAATTGCCACAAGATATTTGTTATATTTCAAGTGTAGAATGCTTTAAAAATGCCCACATAACTATTTGTTCAAAGCGGCTTTCCAGTAGATTTACTTTCACATTGTTGATGTTCATTTTTGTGTGTATTTCCGTGGACATGTAGTTTTTCTTCTCCATTGCGCCTCGAACACATTAGTCATGTGGAGTCGGCGCATTACAAATACTCTATATTATTATTATTATCATTATGACAATTTCTTACCTATTACTGTCTTTCTGTTGGTAGACTGAGTAGCCATTAGGAAGTGTTGTTTCTGCATTCAATGAATACTGTAGTTTCACTTGATCGAGTCGTAGGGCACCACCATCAAAACGTTTCTTGCGTAGGTTTGAAGCAATCTGTCAGGCAAGAAAAAAAGGACAGATCTGATGGATGAACAAATCAATTTCAATTTCAAATCATTTATTTCCCATTTTACTACAATGAGAAAACAGGTCCATGGGCAAAATAACAGCACTCTGTAAAGTTAAAATGAGCCAGATATTATTTATATACTGCGCTTTTCCCAGAGCAACCCAAAGCACTTACAACAAGAAGAATCCTACAAAAAATGAAAATGAAAACTTACAAAATCCTAAAAATCTGGATTACAAAAAAGAAATGTTTTAAGTCCTTTTTTTAATGAAGAGACAGATGGTGATTGCCAGAGTATTAAAGGTAGCCTATTCCAATATTTAGATGCAGTTATAGTGAAAATCTCCAGCTATTTTCTGTGTGATGCTGTATGTAAGACGGAGTGGGTCACTGGAGGCTCGAAGGTTCCTGCGAGGGGTGTACATGTATAGGGTCAAACAATCATGTAGGTATTGAGGTGCCTGCTTATTAAGGGAGCTTGACAAGTCTTGTTCATTATCCCATTGTGACTTGACCTACGTGCAGTGCATATTCACTATTGCACGTGTGTTTCATGAACGATCATACCAAACTGAACGATCATACGAAATTGAATCTATGAGATACCTTCTGCATGTTGAGCACAGCTTGAGCCACCTCGTTCCTGCCGAAACCGTTAGTGATCTCTGGAAGCACGATGTCGTCCCCTTTCTCCTCCCAGTTCTCTATCATGTCTTGGGCGTGAAGGTAACTCAGCTTGACGCAGGAACGGATCACAGAACGGCCGCACCATTCTTGCAAGATCTATTAGATAGATAGATAGATAATCAAATTTATTTCATTCATCATAAACAACATCTAGATACAATAACATACAAAATCACAAAGATATATAGTCAAAATAAACATACATTACAAAAGATAATCGCACATTATGATATATACATCATAAAGGTAATCTGGACAAAATATAGGGAAAAGTGAGTATTTATGAGAATGAGGAGACAGCTAGAAAGAAAATGAATTGAGACAAGGAATAAAAATGATGACAGTTCAATAAAGGGACACATTTCCTTTTAATTATCTATTATAAAAGTGAATAGATGTATTAACTACTGAGTCTACTAGCATATTCATGAATATCATTGATTTCATAAAATGTTATGAAATCTCCAGGCAAAATAAAGGTTTTATAGAAACAAAGTACATGTTGTGAAATATCGGTAAAACAAGCATTGTTACATCAGTTACACATGCCTCCATTCATCAAGGATCAGTTTGGTATTCTCACCTCTCCTTCTTCCGTCATCCTCCATATAAAAGACATAGTAAGTCTCTCCTGATCGGGATTCAAACTGCACAGCTCCTCACAGAGTAATCGCGGCAACATTGGAATTACCTTCATGAATAAGAAGACATAATAATGAGAATAAGAATAGGGAAAATTTTGAATTCATTGGTACTTTCACATTTGCTTGATTTTAGATACATGGAAATTGTTTATTGCCTTTTGGTCCAATGCCACTTGGCCCCCTACCTCATATAACTTCATTTACTCTGTTTGGACAAGATTACTTGGGAACAAAAACAAATGATGGACTAACCCTAATATTAGACTCAATGATATTAGGCTATTTGGGCATTGTGGCCAAATTAAATTGGACCAAATATCATATTACCGTTATTATTTGAAAGAACTGATACATACATGTAGTAGTAGTTTAATTTGAAGAAAAAACGCAATTAATTGAAGAAAATTCCAGCTCTTCATTACAAGACTCATCACTGTTTGTGATTGTCTCATTTGTATCCTCACGTATGAATACATGAATGAATAAATAAATAATCATTGATTATTTATTCATTCATACATTTGAAGCCCTGTAAAAGGGGATTGATATGTGTAAGAGAGCTATATAATACTTTGTTATTAATTTATTCATTAATCAAGGAACAAATGAATGAATTAATCAATCAATCAACGGAATGTGTTGATCAATTAAGCTACGGTCACAAAGGTTTGTACGAACGATGGGTTCGTACGAATCTCTGTTTTTTCATCGTCTTCCTGAATTTCCATTGTCTGAAAATCATTCGTACGGCGTTCGTAGCAGTTCGTAATGGCATTTGTGACCGAGGCTTAACATATAAGATTTGTGAGGCACCAATTCCACTTGAAACCAAACACTCTTGATTGCAAAAGTTTTCATTTTTGTACTTACCTTTTGGACCAGATAAACACTAGTAGCTCTGTGACTTGCTGTCTTATCCAAACTGGTATCTTCTTTCACAAAATAGCTCACATCAGCAATGTGAACACCCATTTCATAGATGCCTATGTACAGAAGAGAAAGGAAAGAGTACTGTACATATAATATACAATCAGAAAATAGTTTTTCAAAAGGATATTCATTGATGCGTCATAATACTATGATCTTCTAAAAGCACTGCGTTTATCTCAAAATATTTTGCCATAACTGTTACTGTTTAATCCTTAGTCTGTTTACCACAGTCAATTTGTCGCTGTTTTCACGAAGTGAAATGCAGATTTGTCACATGTGAAAATACGAATAGTTAACTTGCAATACTTCAAAAACGGTTAGATAAGGATATCAAATTTAACATTCATTATAGGATGTTCTGTAAGATGATGATTATTTGTCACTCCCAAGCTAGGATCCCATGGATGGTGAAACCCCCCCACCCCCGCCCCCCCAACCGAACCCCACCACAGCAACTATGAGATCACCCCCAAAAGCCTGACCTTTAATACATGTATGGTTAAACATGTAACAGCTATCCATGAAGTGTAGGATCGATAATATCGCCCACTGGGTCGACCAGGTGAGTGTTTCACAAAGATCCTAAGTTGAACTTATCTCTAAGTTGGATTTAACAATTATGGAAAGCTGTTAGCATCTATGAAAATATTTTGTACAAGTTATTTCATAAGGCATAAAATGTTGATTTAAATCATTCATATTGTCTATTATCAAGGATATTTCATGTTCTTGATGTAGAATTTATGAACAGTCTAAAATACTCAAATTTTTGCTTTTGGAAATATTTAATTTTAAGGCTACAAATGGCTCTCCATAATTATTAAGTCCAACTTGGGAGTTAACTTTGACTTTGAATCTTTGTGAAACAACCCCCAGGACATATGCATCTGTCATACACTCACCATCTCCTAAAGCTTTACAGTGAAGAGCATCATCCAGATCTCTGGCTGTGGTTGGGTCGATGGTAAAGATGCACTCCGACCTCAGGTCACGTCGCTGTGACAACTCCTCCGCAGGTATCCTCCATGGGCGCTCTTTTGGAAGGTCCTCTAGGACCTGCAAGATCAACAGAAGGTTACCAGAAGTTTAAGAACAAACTACATATACAGTCGAACCTGTCTACAGTGACCGCCCAAGGGAAACACAAAAAGGGCTCTTTGTAGACAGGTTCCTTTAGTACACGTTTCAATTAGAAACAATTTTCAAGGGGAACAAATAATATGGCATTTGTAGACAGGTGGTCTTTGTAGACAGGTGGTCACTAAAGCAGGTTTGACTGTATATATATATATATATATATAAACCCAGACGGGAAAGGAGACTGAACATTAAAATCAAGGAAGCCTACATTTCATCACGGTACATATTACAGTAGAGAGGTGGAGTATTTGAGGAGTCAATCCCAAGAAGCAAATGTCTCAACTTTCACCGACTCATGCAAATCAAGATTTGACAGATACTTGATGTGGCGGATATTGTCCAGCTCTTCCTTCTGTACAAGTACTCTAGCGACAATTTCTCTAGGCCTTGTTACATCAAAGAAGAGGTAGGATTGCCAAAGGATGTATGTGATGTGGCAGGGATTTGAACCCTGGACCTTGTGATGCAGAGTCCAGAGACGTATCCACTAGACCACAACACCTCTATATGTGGTGAGATAGGCTTACTTCAGCAGTGAACTCAATTGGGTTTCAGTTTAGGCGCCACGGATTTATTCAACTGGCATTCGGAATGCATTCGGAATGCCCTTGTTAATCTTTCTGGAATGTATCTGGAATGTCCCCATTCTAGCCACATTCTCAAAAAATCGATGCGACCTGCGCCTATTGTCTAGAGAACAAAGGGGCATTCCAGAATGCGCACATTCTGGAATGCATTCTGGAATGCGCCTTTGTTCTCTAGGCAAAAGGCGCAAATCGCATCGACTTTTTGAGAATTGGGCGATTAAAAAGCATGCCCGAAACGCTGGCGATTAATCAGAATTGCGTGATTTCAAATGCCTGCCAAAGTGACTACAGCGCGGCGCACAACAGGCTATAACATTTGTTCTCTCAACTTCTGATTTTCTGAAGTTGATAACAGCGGAAACACATTGTCCCTAATTGAAGGAAAAAATTATCTTGGTATTACGTTTCCATTTTCCCATAAAAAAAGTTGCGGCCGCTTTATTTCTTCCCCTGTAAAATGAATTTTGACGCTACGAACGAGTTCTAATACAAGTATTTTCCCGCTCGAAAAAGATTACATTTATATAAAATAACTTGTTTGTCTTTTCAAATTTCTGCCGGCATAGTGTTGGAATATGAATAAGTATCGGTTTATATAGACAGCGCGGAGCACTTTTAGAAGGAGTAAGAGCTATTTTTATTTATCTTTTTAAACAAGGTTTAACATTGGTTCTCTCAACTTCTGATTTTCTGAAGTTGATAACAACGGAATCACGTTGTCTCCTAATTGAAGGAAAAAATTATCTTGGTATTACGTTTCCATTTTCCCATAAAAAAAGTTGCGGCCGCTTTATTTCTTCCCCGGTAAAATGAATTTTGACGCTACGAACGAGTTCTAATACAAGTATTTTCCCGCTCGAAAAAGATTACATTTATATAAAATAACTTGTTTGTCTTTTCAAATTTCTGCCGACATAGTGTTGGAATATGAATAAGTATCAGTTTATATAGACAGCGCGGAGCACTTTTAGAAGGAGTAAGAGCTATTTTTATTTATCTTTTTAAACAAGGTATAACATTCGTTCTCTCAACTTCTGATTTTTTGAAGTTGATAACAACAGAATCACGTTGTCTCCTAATTGAAGGAAAAAATTATCTTGGTATTACGTTTCCATTTTCCCATAAAAAAAGTTGCGGCCGCTTTATTTCTTCCCCGGTAAAATGAATTTTGACGCTACGAACGAGTTCTAATAAAAGTATTTTCCCGCTCGAAAAAGATTACATTTATATAAAATAACTTGTTTGTCTTTTCAAATTTCTGCCGACATAGTGTTGGAATATGAATAAGTATCGGTTTATATAGACAGCGCGGAGCACTTTTAGAAGGAGTAAGAGCTATTTTTATTTATCTTTTTAAACAAGGTATAACATTCGTTCTCTCAACTTCTGATTTTCTGAAGTTGATAACAGCGGAAACACGTTGTCTCCTAATTGAAGGACAAAATTATCTTGGTATTACGTTTCCATTTTCCCATAAAAAAGTTGCGGCCGCTTTATTTCTTCCCCGGTAAAATGAATTTTGACGCTACGAACGAGTTCTAATACAAGTATTTTCCCGCTCGAAAAGGATTACATTTATATAAAATAAATTGTTTGTATTTTCAAATTCTTTAAACTCGGTCAAACTATCATCAATCTCTTTCTCTCTCTTTTGTTGTTGTTGCCATTTTGCTTTCGTTCAAATCAACTGCGTGTCAAGTAAATTACACTACCCGTTCAATAAATGCAAGGGAAACGATTTAACGGTGGAGGCAAAGGACATATTTTACTCAGTGGGAACATCATAATTATTCTGTATTAACATCGACTTCCATTACGACTGGTTCCTAGGAAACCAAAAAATATCGATAAACGATGCTCCCCCCCCCCCCTTCCCCGAAAGATTGAATGGAATATGAAACATCTGAGACTTGGCATTTATATATTGTACTTAATTAAAATAAATGGGCAATCCAATCCTGTGGTGGAAATTTGCTTCAAAGGAAAGCAAAACAAATCAGTGGAAAACATTCATAAAAGTTTGAAAACGATCCGATAAACAAGAACAGATAACAAAACAAAGGCCTTTGCGGGTTGTGAAAACAGCCATTAAATAACCGACCCCTGACTTGGTAATTCTTCTCCCCCAGTGTCGGAACTCTGACAATACAGTTTTCATGTTATCAACTTGATCAATTTAGCGAATCATTCATGTATGGACCTCCTCTATTATGAAACGCTTATCTCAGCTGCCTGGACCGGATCCCACAATAAGAGGAACAAACGAATGTAAAGGTGTAACTACTCTGGAAGATTACCGTGTTGAAAGAAGAGGATGTAGGCCCAAACGTAGGTCAAGCTACATGACAATACAAACAACCACTCTAACTTATGTACCTTTACGAGGGCATGTAACCATTTTTGAGCAGGTTTGAGTTATAGGTATAGCCACGAATATGAGAATTTTCCTGGGCAAATATGCTACCATTGTTAAAGGGGGAAAAAAAGCAAGGCAACATAAAAAAAAAAGAAGTTTTCTGGCAATAAAGAAAAGCGAGTGCAAGATGAAGAAATTAATGTCTATTATCATTACTATTCTATTACAATATTGTAAGCATCATCATCGCCATCATCATCATCATTTCATGTATACATGCCATCTACAGAACTGATCATGAAACGAAGATTAACAAAGTTTTATTGACAGGATAGGTTGAACGAGAACACAGATGGAGACGAAGACAAATAAATTGAATTCTCACGAGGGATAACCAAAACAAGTCTAGCTGTTAAATGGTTATCCTGATAAATGGGATTTGTGTGTCATTTTATTCCATAAAATATATTTAGGCAATAGTGGTAAGATTGTAATATGGTAAGGCACACGACAAATGAATATTTCTAATTATGAGAAACAAAGTCGAAAGTATTCAAAGTAAATATTATTTTTGTTTTCGAGAATAAAACAATGTTCATTTCAAAATGCATAAGTTCCCCCAAATAGTCCTATATTTGATTTGCACATTTAAAAGAAAGGGCATTTAGTGTAGATCATGGCATAATGTTGGTCAGAATATAGTTACAAAATGTGTCGAAAACCCATGTAAAACGAAGGCTTAGGCCTATTATTTATGGCTCGGTTGATAATCGGCCGAGCTTTAGCACACGACAATCATAGACAATGGGGGAATGAATGGAGGTATCGACCGATGTTACGCAATTTGTATCGTGAGTGTATTGAAAAGGAAAGACGTGAAGCTTCAGCAAAATAAGACGGCAATTTCCCTCAAAAATAACAGACCTTATTTTTCGTATTGATGAACATTACTTATATCTTTAGAAAAAAAAAAGTCTGAACTTTCATTTTTATATTTACAAAAAGAATCACGAAATTGACTGAATGAGGCGCAATGAAAGTAGAAAGCACCGCCAAATTTTCCATTACTTGCGATGTAACCGAAATCGCTCGAGAACCCCGTATTTCTTTATAGGGGCACATTACGGTGCGGGATCAGTCTAAAGGCCGATATTTTGTTATGCTATTATGTGCCATTTTTAGATACATGTATTCATATTACCGGACGTCTCGTAGTTCCACGGTTCAGACCTAGTGTTATCCATTACGACTGTCAATTTAAGTTCACGAGATAGGAACCAAACAAATATCAATGGATGATGCTCTTACCCCCCCCCCCCCCCCCCCTCTTACCCCCCCCCCCCCCCCCCACCTCCTTCCCCCACCTCCCCACCTCCTTCCCCCGACCACGAAAGATTGGTGGGGATTTGAAAGTTGGATTGATGACTGTATCTTAGAAATGTTGTAATCAACACCCAAGTTCGAACAGACCGCGATATTTATTGTTAAGTCGCCTCTGTTCTGAGAGCGCCGACATGTGGCGGGAATGTCATAATAAACCTGACATTATTTTGAATGTCGTTTTGCGACTGGTCAATGGTGAGGAGCAATTATTTACGATGACAAAAACATTTGTGTATTACAAAATAATCCAACATTTTAGGATTGTAATACCTTTAATCTCTCTCTCTCTCTCTCGATAATAATTAATCCATCTCTATCTCGAATCAACACTGTCTCCTTCTTATCTAATATGAGGCGTCATGTCAATCAACACCAAAGTTTAAAACGCGCGTATATTTGACATTGTTAAGCGCCTTTGTTCTGAGAGCGCCGACTTGCTTATGGCGGGAATGTCATAATAAATCTGTCATTATTGGTATGTCGTTGTTGCGCACGTGTCATGTTGTTGTCCACATGCCATGTTGGCGTGAGATAACATTGTTAAATTATTAGAGCATACGGACTATTTAGATTGGAAATAAGAAATAAGAAATCTTTTTAACTCTCATATATATAAAAAAAGACTAAAATCAGATTTCACCACCTCATATTTCAACATTCACCATCTCTTGCATCCTCTTTCTTTCCCTCATCCTCTCCAATTCGCCTCTCACTCAGTTATCATCTCTCCCCCACTCTCTACTGATCTATATATGACCTTCTCTTTTTTTTTTTTGGAATAAATAAGCACACCCTCTACAATTTTTATGAAATTCCGTAGAGAAATATGATATAAGTCATATTTTATTTATTATTGATGAAGAAAAAAAAAGAGATAGAATTAAAAAATTAGAGAGGGAAGATGAGGAAGGTGATGAAAAAAAAAGGGGGGGTAGGATAGTGTGCGCTAAACAATGATACGCAACATATAAGCACAGACCGCAAACAAAATTATGTCCGTCTCGGTTTGGGAATAAGATTATTCGAAACAACATACTTCATAGGTTTACATTAAAGCATGTGCTTTCCTTCATGCGCAGACTCGTGGAGGGGGGGGGGGAGCAACGGGGCCAGGCCGCTTCCTCCCTGGCCAAAAAAAAGACGGACCGCCCCATCCCTGCCCCCTAAAAAAGTTTAAAAATAAGATGGTAACCACAAATATCCACTCTCGCTTTTTATCTATAACAAGGATAACAGGATAACGGAATAGGGGCAGTGATGAGAGAGTGAGAGAGAGAAGCGAAAGCAATTAAATATCGAGATTCTGATATGTCTATTGATCTTTTTGTGGGTACGATGAAAAGGCACGAATGAAGTAGAAAGTTGGATTGATGACTGTATCTTGGAAATGTTGTAATCAACACACAAGTTCCAACAGACCGCGATATTTACGATTGTTACGCCTCTGTTCTGAAAGCGCCGACATGTGGAGGGAATGTCATAATAAATATGTCATTATTTGAATGTCATTGTTGCAACCGTGGTCAATGGTGAGGAGCAATTATTTCCGATGACAAAAACATTTGTGTATTACAAAATAATCCAACATTTTAGAATTGTTATAGGCATACAGCCAATTTACACCTGTAATCTCTCTCTCTCTCTCGATAATAATAATAAATCCAGATCTCGAATGAACACTGTCTCCTTCTTATCTAAAATGAGGGGTCATGTCAATCAACACCAAAGTTTAAAACAGGCGTACATTGTTACGTGCCTTTATTCTGAGAGCGCCGACATAGTAGTGGCGGGAATGTAATAATAAATCTGTCATTATTTTATTTATAAATAAGCACACCCTCTACAATTTTTATGAAATTCCGTAAGTCATATTTTATTTATAATTGAAGAAAAAAAACACACACACACACACACACAAAAAAAAATCATTATTTATAAGAGAAGGAATTTAAAAAGATAGAGAGGGTAGATGAGGTAAGTGATGTAACAAATTAAACAAAATGATACGCAACATAAGTACAGACCACAAAGAAAATTATGTCCGTCTCGGTTTAGGAATAAGATTACATGAAACAACATACTTCATAGGTTTACATTAAAGCATGTGCTTTCCTTCATGCGCAGACTCATGGAGGGGGGGGGGCAACGGGGCCAGGCTGCTTCCTCCCTGGCCAAAAGAAAAAGACGGACCCCCCCCCCCCATCCCTGCCCCCCCCCCCAAAGTTTTAAAATAAGATGGTAATCACCACAAATATCCACTCTCGCTTTTTATCTAAATGTATCATTTCATTAGTCCTCCGATCTTTCAACACCCACCATCTCTTGCATCCTCTTTCTTCCTCTCATTTTGATCATTCAGATTCATCCGCATTTTCATGCAAAATATTTTCTTCATTTTTTCTCAATCTTTCTCCTACTCTTTTTACCATCTTTAATGAGGCATCGTGTCAATCAACACCAACGTTTCAAAACACCGCGTATATTTGACACTGTTACGCGCCTTTGTTCTGAGAGCGCCGACTCAGGACATATTTGTGGCGGCCTGGCGGGAATGTCATAATAAATCTGTCTTCATTCTTTCTCAATCTTTCTTCTACTCTCTTCACCATCTTTAATAAGCTGAAGAAAAGAAAGAAAATCAATTACAATATCTCCGACGCTTGAGAAATAAATAGTGAGAGAAAGAGAGCTAGAAGCGAAAACAATTAAATATCGATGATGTTACCGGAGTTTATGACAAAAATTAAGCCGTCGGAAAGAAATCAAAGTAAGTCCATTATCACCTGCGCTCGAGAAATGCAACGAGCGACCGATCGCGGGAGAGACAGAAGCGAAACCAATTAAATATCTGTTGATTTCTATCAATTCTTATGGTGCATTCTATATCGAAACTCTTCCGGCACGCAATATCAAGAAGGTAGTCGCTGCCGATCGATCTCGCCTTTGTTTGGATGGCCTATTCATGGAGCATTCCAGAATGCACCCACAATGCGCCAATTAAGTCGTTAAGTACCGCATTCTAGGTACATTCTAGGTACATTCTGGAATGTGGATTAACAGAACAATAGATTCTGAAGAGGGCATTCTACATGCATTCCGAATGCCAGTTGAATAAATCCGTGGCGCCTTAGTGTGTTGCCAAAGGATGTATGTGATGTCGCAGGGATTTGAACCCTGTACTTTGTGATTCAGAGTCCAGAGACGAAACCACTAGACCACAACACCTCTATATGTGGTGAGATAGACTTACTTCAGCAGCGAACTCAATTGGGTTTTAGTTTAGTGTCTTGCCAAAGGATGTATGTGATGTGGCAGGATTTGAACCCTGTACCTTGTGATTCAGAGTCCAGAGACGAAACCACTAGACCACAACACCTCTACGTGTGGTGAGATAGACTTACTTCAGAAGTGAACTCAATTGGGTTTTAGTTTCGTGTCTTGCCAAAGGATGTATGTGATGTGGCAGGGATTTGAACCCTGTACCTATTGTAAGTCAGAGTCCAGAGACGTATCCACTAGACCACAACTGTACCCCTACGTGTGGTGAGATAGACTTACCTCAGTAGTGAACTCAGAACTGTCGATGCCATGCTCAATCAGCATAGCTGTCGTTTCAGCCTCTACTTCCCCCGCCTGTCCAATACTGTAGAGCAAATGTCTACAGGTAAGAAAGTAAAAAAAGGGGGGAGAGGCTGAAATTACTCATTGGGAACAGTCAGGTTACTTTTTATTCTTTATAAATACTTCCGGAATACACATATGAGTCTCTGTATCGCCTGTTCAGAGTCATAAGATCATTAACTCTTATACGAGTCAATGCCCTTCTGGCTCCAAACAGACAATATATTGGTACATATCCTGTTCAGGGCTCTGTCACCACAGGCTTGCATTTTCATACTTTATATAGTGGTATGCAGTTGAATACAAGTAACTTTGGGGGCACAATGTATGACACCCCCTCCCCCCCCCCCCCCCCTAAAAAATGAAAGGGATATAGAATGGAGATAATAGGACCCTGTCCCATACCCTCTCTCTAATCACTGGCCTTGTTAATTAACATTTCTTTCACCAGGTAAGTCCACAACACCCCCCCCCCCCCCCCCATATACCAGTGGCTCCTTGATGCATGTAGGAAGACTCACACTACGCCATTGATGGCATCTACATTAGATTGTTGTTTGGTTGTTGGTGTTGTTTTTAGAATATCCAGATGTCTAATTTAAACCTAAATAGTGTAGAATGGCATACTGGATGAGAGAAAACTAGAGAGATTTCATATTCTTCATCCAAGATATAAAGTTAAATGTATGGCTAATTTCTATGAAACATCTAGAATACTTGTGAAAGCAATATAGAGTAATAAACTAATATCCTTTTGGAGAGAGTTGACTATAAAAAATGGCATAATGGAACAATATTTGGCAGCCAATCACAGCTTTTTCTCTTAACCTGCACTTTACATGTAGATCCTTTATGCTTGATTTAGATTCCTGTTCCTTTTTGCATTTTCATCTGAGGGCAAGATAATACCGTACCCCATTTGTTATGCGCCATCGATCTAGTAAACTATTCCGGGGCGCAGAGGGATAGAATTAGAATGAGTTACATAGAGAAATGAGTAGGAGAAAAAAAAGAGGATAAAAAGCTTCATTATGTCTGTATCCAAAGCTAGTCTTACATTTTGGAGTACGACATGTAATTGTCTGCTGCTTGTAAGTATCGGCTTGCATGGTGATGTAGATATACAGTAGGCTTGCGGATGTACCATGTGCCTCAATCCTCCCTCTCTCTCACATGGTGCATCCGCAAGCCTACTGTTTATGTAATTGTCTCTTTACGAAGTGGAATAACTACTTACCCTTTTGCAAATGCTGAGATGAGTGGCCAATCGATGATCTGAGCGATGAAGAGTGTGTTTGCATAGTCCTGGGGTCGCTGGGAAAACGTAGCTGGGCATTCCTTCCTTGGGATGTAGATCCGAGGTACACGGTGGTCAGTGGGAGCAAACATCACGTCAGGTGCTCTCTAGCAATTAAAAATAGAAAAACCATGAGGGTTGTGAACGTAACAACAAAGATTTATTTGCCCAATATGGAAAAATCTATAAATATATATATACAGATCATATGTACATAATACAATTCTTTCTTACAGTGCATAAAACCCAATGAAATATTGCTTAATTTGCTCTACAAAAAAAAAAAAACTAGATGGAATTCGACTGCGCGCAGTCGAAAATGATGCCTCCGTCATAGAGCAATTTTACAAACCGAAACGGAAGAAATTTTTCAAATTCAAGTTCAATTGTAATCCATTAACATGTTCTCAGAATATCGTGAATACAAGCAATTTCTCATAAACATATATGACCCTTTGATCTTTGACCTCATAAACCTAAAATCTACTCAGTTCATTGGCTCTGCAAGATTTCCTGAGTTAAATAGTAATCCATCTGTCAGTTCTAATGAGAATGCGTCCACAAGCTATTTTTGCATACATAATGAGCCCATGACCTTTGATCTTATGAACCATTCATTGGCTCTGCAAGATACATAAATGATCTAAGTTTGGCAGGAATCCATCAATCTGTTCTAATGATAATGCGATCACAAGCTATTTTTGCATACATAATGAGCCGCATGACCTTGACCTTTACCTCATGACCCCAAAATCTAATCAGTTCATCAGCTCTGCAAGTAACATACATGACCAAAGTTTGGCAGGAATCCATCAATCGGTTGTTCAGATAACGCGATCACGAGCTGTTTTTGCATACATAATGTGCGCTGTGACCTTTGACCTCGTGACCCCAAAATCTAATCAGTCATTGGCTTTGCAAGATACATACATGACCAAAGTTTGGCAGGAATCCATCAATCGGTTCTTCAGATAACGCGATCACAAGCTGTTTTTGCATACATAATGAGCCCTGTGACCTTTGACCTTTGACCTCGTGACCCCAAAATCTAATCAGTTCATCAGCTCTGCAAGATACATACATGACCAAAGTTTGGCAGGAATCCATCAATCGGTTGTTCAGATAACGCGATCACAAGCTGTTTTTGCATACATAATGAGCCCTGTGACCTTTGACCTTTGACCTACGTGCTCCAAAATGTAATCAGATTGTTTTCCTATAGTGATACACACTATCACTAAGTTTGAAGTTTAAATCTCCAGTGGTTCTTGAGATATCATGATAACAATCTCAATGTATGGAATTTCATAAGTTGACCTCTGTGACCCTTGACCTTTGACATACGTGCTCCAAAATCTAATCAGATCGTCTTCCTATGGTGATACATACTATCCTTAAGTTTGAAGTTTAAATCTCAAATGGTTCTTGAGATATCGCGCTAACAAACTCAATACAAGGAATTTCATAAGTTGACCTCTGTGACCTGTGACCTTTGACCTACGTACTCCAAAATCTAATCAGATCGTCTTCCTATGGTGATAAATACTATTCCCGAGTCTTAAGTTTAAATCTTAAATGGTTCTTGAGATATTGTGATAACGGTCAAACGGGACGGACGGACGGACGTACGGACGGACGGACGTACGGACGGACGTACGGACGGACGTACGGACGGACGTACGGACGGACAACCCGAAAACATGATGCCTCCGGCACCACCTTCGGTGGCGGAGGCATAAAAAAAAACAGATTTGGTCATCAAATGAAAATTAGAGTACTTTCACCTAGTAATTTGTTGGGGTATTTTCGTTTACTAACAGAATTAGTTACAGGATGATAGTGACTTGTAAATCAAATCTGACATTTCTGATAGTTCAGCAGCTTTCAAGAATATGGCCACTATAATTAAGGGTAATATGATATATGTAAGTAATAAGTAATATACTGTATTCTATACCGGGTTAGATGGAAGCTTTAGATGTCCGCTGGCTGCTCTGGAATGCTTGTATTCACAGATGTAGACGACCCTGGCAGTCTTGGGCGCCATGCGTGGATCATTTCCAAGTGTCCCTCCGATTTTCTGTGAATAAAAAAGAAAAAGCTATTTGTAAAGCATGGATTACCTACAAATCGTAAATCATCAGGATAGTTAACAACACACTTTGAATTGAAATAAAACATGAGTGTTATAGGTTTCCTGGGAGGTGTTTCATAAAACTTTGCGTAAAGTTACGCATGAGTTAACGAATGACTTGAATATGAAGAGCTAAATGGGATTCTCAAATCCTTTGAATTCCATAAGCTAAAGTTGAAATATGCAGATGTAGATTAACCTTATCATTATTAACAAAATATTTTAATGCACATTGTATTTTGGGCTACAATTTAATTGAGATTATGGGAAATACAGTCACACTTTGTTAAAATGTCAGGAAAAACTTTGGGCATCGTATTTGGCTCTTCGTATTCAAATCATTTGTAAAGTCACTCGTAACTTTACGCACAGCTTTATGAAACACCCCCCTGGATTCCTTGCATATCTGACTGATTACTCAGCAGCCACGCACTTTCTTTTCAGAACAGTGTGGCAGATACAATATATCTTTACATATACATGTATGTATGTGACATTATATATATATATATATTTTATATTATCCTTATGCTGTTCTATTATTCTCTAATCTATTTTTTGATCAGAACCAGAAATCATCTTACCTGGGGAGTTCCCCCTCCACTGGTTGAGGATCCCCTGTTATTGCTTGGGGTACGAGGGGCGTCTTCTATCACTTCGCTACTTGACGAAACCTCAGACCTAGGATGATTTAGAGGAATACCGTAAGCAATAAATACCCTCTGTTTGAAAGGGTTGCGTGACACAATGTAAACAGTGTTGGCGTTTCAGTAGTGGTGTTTTAGGCACTCTTACACAGAAAATAGTTAATGGTATTCTAACCTTGGCCCTGTTTCATAAAACTGCTATATTTTTATGACAAATTTGCTCCCACAATTTCAGTAGCTTATAACAGTTATTGTAGCTTGTTATTAATAACATGTTTTATGGAACAGGGCCCAGATTTGGAGGGAGCAGGTTCTGTTAAAGTGATTCGGTAACATTGCCTCAAGGCATCGTTTAATAGTGTTAAATCTGAGATGCACGGCTCTACGTGTTATCAGTGTCTGTGATATGGTGTTATATTGAAGCCCTAAAAATATTGCGCTTCAAAATAATCATGAAGTGCCTCAAAAAATTAAAAATCTTTGAGTGACCGGTTTTATCATACTCATTTTTCACGATAGAATGTAGTGTTATAAAACCAGTTAGGAAAACGATAAATGAAATTACGATTTCCAATCATATGTATCTTGATAGTCAGACAGGCAATTGGCTTGTAAAAGTCATGGGATTCCTGACTGACCTAAGGGTTTATAATTATGATTGCAGCATGAGCTAAATCCAGGATTTTGTTTCAGAATCTGAGGCAATGTTACCGAGTCACTTTAAGAGTGACTACTCGATAGAACCTCCTGGCCAAACTAGTGCAGAGGGGCTTTAAAGGCATGTATCTCCACTCACCTGGCATCGGACCACTCTCTGCGCACCAGGTCCCCCACCTTGTCCTGCTCCTCGCCCGACGTGGCCGAGACGTCTGCAAAGCCAAACGCTGCCTCAGAGTTGTTGAGATACAAGCTGCTCATGTTGTCAGATACATCCAGCTCATTCAAGCTGCTTGTGTCAAAATCACCTGGTAATTGGATCCAAAATTAATATAATCCACTAAATTACTTTCATATATTTGACTCTTTTATAATTTGCTGGTACATACACATATAGCAAATGCTGAGAGCCAGAAGGGCCTTCACTCTTACTCTTTAAAGGAGACCAGTTTTGGAAACGCCCCCCTCTCAAAAAATGAAATGGAAGCTCTTATTACTGATCATGTGAAAGGATATGTTTTGACTAATACGTGATGATACAAATTTTACCACATGGAACTCATAAAACACACAACAGAATATATTTGGGTGATTGGCATATTCTAAATCACGGTGAATGGTTGGACCTTCATACCTTGGCTTCCGAAGAAGTACCTCCCTCCCAGCTTCTTGGGGGTCGATGATCCTGGTGTGGATGAACCCTGTCGGTCAGGACTCTCGGACACTGCAATGATGGGTTGGTTGGCAAGAAGTTTCCTAGGCGTGCTCATCCTCTGTGACTTAGGAGTCTGCAGGAGTACATTTGATAAGGAAAGAAATCTGTATCTGTATGGTTTGACCAGCAAAATGTCCTCTTCAGACACATCCACACTAACTTTGTGATGACAGAAGCGCATTGCGTGTGGAAAGACTTGATTTGTTTGAGTTTAGCTTTAAATGTTACCAGGGATGGGCTATTAACAATTGAAGAAGGAAGGTTGTTCCAGTCCCTAACAATATCTATGAAGAAGGAGTCATGTAATACTCTGGCCCTATGCCTGGTTTGGAGAAACTTTTGGTCATTCCCTCTAACAAATTCTCTTACCTTATTTTTTAATTTGAGAAGAGCTGGTACCTTGATTTTAAACTCCTTCTTGCAAAAACAATAAAACTTTGCAGCTAGTGGTGCCTTTATAAATAATTCATGAATATAAAAGAATCAGAATTCAGCCTTTGGATGAAATAATTTTTGTATTTTGAACAAACAAAGTCCAATTAAATCAAACTTATCTGACTCTGTATCATTCTCATCGATACTTATGCTAAAAGAGGACAACATAGCCTCCTAGAGCACAACCATTTTTCCAGGAGATAACAAGTGTCATTGTCGTTATTATTGATTTGGCACTTTCAATACATAAAAAAGAGAACATACAAATGAGTAAACAAAATATAGCAATACTTACATAGGCACTGGTGCATCTGACCAGGCCGGATGGGAAAGAATAGGTACTCTAAACTAACATGGCCCACAGGCCTTCCTTCCTGCTTTCACATTCACTTTCCCTGATCAGGGCAGCGCCAGGAGGGTCACAACGTGACGAACATGTGCGCTATATAAGAAGCCACCATTTTTATTATTATTATTATTATTTAAACAATTTGGAATCAATTCATACCAGAGTTTCTCTTCTTCAAAATAAACCCTGTCCTATTTTCAACACCACAGTCCTGAGAGAAAAACTAGACAAAACTGTTTTGAATAAGCTTGCAAGACGGAACAGAAAATCTATCCGGGATCTGAACCCATAACTTTATAATTACATGTCAATAGGACATACCACTAGGTCTTACCATTATAACCTCACCAGTCAAGATCTGGACTGCTACTACATCACCTTGGAGGGCTCTATTGCGGGCGTGAACACCATTGATAAAGATATCAGAACCACCATCCTATAAGTGAGAAACAAAACAGAGAGAATAATTGAGACTGAAATGCAATAAGTTTGTTTGTTTGGTATCTTCGGAGAACTCTTGGGAAAACCTAGAGGATTTGGAAGACTGTGTTGCCAGCGAGAGCATCTTTGATAAAGCTATCAGTACCACCATCTTGTTAAGTAAGCACTAACAGAGAGAATACATGAGATTGAATGAACACACAAGAGTTTGATTTGTATCATGGGAGAAGTCTTGAGAGAATCTCCAAGTTTTGAAATGAGTCCCCTGACAGTGTTACAACCTTCGATTCCTTTGCTTGATAAATTTGCCTACTTAAAATATTGCAACCTTCACCCTTCCCAATACGCTGTATCAAATACACTATGCCTCAATTATGCAAGACTACACAAGGAACAACTATATGCAGTGACTAAAATATATACAATTTTATTAATCCTACCGAATTTATTGTGTCAATTAACAGAAACCAGTTCCTTGAGCAGTGTAACTATTATGTCGTCATACTCTTCCCGTCCAATCATGACCTGAAGCTTTAAAAATTGTATGTAGAAAAGTAAACTACAAAAATTACATAAAAATTCTGTTTCCCTATTATTATGAAAAACTACTGTGGATGTGAAGGGACATCAAAGCATTGACTGAAATGTATACGATTTGCATAATCCTACTGAAATTATTATGTCAAATAAAAGCAACTAAATATTCAAGCAGTGTTATATCATGTCATTCTGTAAGTACCTGTACAAATATGCAACTTTAAAAGTTGTATATAGACAACCAGACAACTACAAAAATATATAAAATTCAGGGTCCCCCGCTACGCACTACACACAAATTGTTATCAAGATTGAGTTCCATGCTAATCCCTTCTGTGCTGTATGCAAAATAATCTTGCCAAATAATTAAGAGTGATAAATAAAGAGCTACATTTTCCTCCAGAAACAGAAAGACTCACTTCTATCATGAGGTTCATATCTATGGAAGATAGCATATTGCCCATTCATTTGAAGTCAATATTTTTACCCCTGAAAGTTCAATGACAATCTTCTAAAAATGTGGTTGTCCAAAAGGAAAAAGTTTAATAAATGTAGAGGTGTTGTGGTCTAGTGGACAAGTCACCTGACTGCAGATCACAATGTACAGGGTACAAGTCCCGTCCCCGGCATTAAGGTCCTTTGGCGAAATGTTAATCTACATTTGCCACTCTCCACCCAGGTGTAAATGGGTACCTGATATGGTCGAGCGCTAGTTACTTTGGCAGCTCGGCTACAACCAGGGTAATATGTGTAAAGCGCCATGAGCGTCAGAGCCTGGCGGATACCGGCGCTATATATATATATATATCCATATTATCATTATTATTAAAAGCTTTTCAAGAACAGTTTATACTTACTGGTGAGTCAAGATACGCCTCCTCAAAGTTCTTGGGGTTGATCCGTAGCGTTCCCTTTACCACCTTGCCCTGTTTTACAAGTTTAGACACATCTTCCTCCATCCAGTACTTATCAAATGGCTGTCAAGAAGGTAGAAATATAAGAAAAATAATACAGTCAAACCTGTATACAAAGAATTCTCGTGGGAGACCAAGAAAATGTTGTCTTTATATAAAGGTGATTTAAAGGGAGAGGGTCTTCAGTTTCCATGTGCAGAAGGCCTTAATTCGCTGACACCAGACTTGATGGAAATACCATTAATGGGTATACAAGTCTGCACACAGCAAACCTGTGGGCCTATCAAGAAACTCCCCTAGTCTCTCGGAGAGTCTCTCGGAGAGTCTACAGTTGAGGGGAACGTAAGATAATGACTTTACCAAATGGGGGAATGGGAGGAAAATGCAAAGCGTTACATAAGGCCTGCTGGTCATAAAACTGAAGGCTAATCCTGGTGATTGACACACCTGTTATTGGGTAAACACCGGAACGTGTCTAATTCCCCATGAGAGCCTCCAACTATGTGTCTTTAATGTACGGATTACTCAAGTACAAGTCTCAAAGAGGAACAACAAATGGGAGGGGTGAGAGGTTACACTGGCAAAGAACAAAAGAGAGGTCTTATAGACAATGTGCCACAAACAAATTGTATATGTTGGGGTTTATGTAAGCTTTGGGGGTAAGGGCTAGGTAATGATAAAGGTGGGTCAAAGTGTTTAGTCCAGGGGAGTGTTTCACAAAGTCGAACTTAACTCTAACTTAGACTTAACCATTATGGAGAGCCATTTCTGGCTTAAAATTAAATATATTCAAAATTTTAATAAATAGTATTTTAGACGTTTCATAAATTCCACATCAATAACATTGAAATTTCCATGATAATAGTAAATATGAATGTTTTGAATCAAAATTTAATGTCTTTTAAATAACTTTTAAAAAATATTTTCAATGATGCTAACGGCTTTCCATAACTTTTAAGTCCAACTTAGGATCTTTGTAAAACACACCCCAGGGCTAAATGTGATTAATTGTGCAGTGTACGAAATTAACAACAGAGCATACATTTGCCAGAGCATCTATTGTAGAACATTTTCGCTCCTTTCGACACTCCAACATACCTTGAAAGATTGCTTCTTCGGCGTGGCACCGGAGGAATCTGAGGGTTGGCCACCAGGGGATAATGGCTGGCCATCCTTCTTCGCTTGTTTCTTATCCTTCCCTCCGTTCTTTCCTTTCTTCTGCTTGTCTTTACCTCCAGCATCTTTCCTCCCAAAGTGATGTGGTGCTGTCTCACCTTGCCCTGAATCTGTGGACTTTAACACAAGATATGTGGAATAAGAAACATTCTTCATCTTCATGATTATCTTCATCATCTACATCATCACTATCATCATCATCATCATCATCATCATCATCACCACCACCATCATCATCATCATCATCATCATCATCACCATCACCATCACCACCATCACCACCATCACCACCATCGTCATCATCATCTTCATCCTGTGAGTCCCCTCTATGAAGGGTCGGGTCTCCTCTTTACTGCCCTCCATCTTGTCCCGTCTGTCGCCAGCTACAAATCAATTTCTCCACCGTCTTCCTTAATACAATCTATCCACCTCTTCCTGGATCTTCCTCTCTTTCTCCTTCCTTTCTCCTTTCTCTCTGCTTCTTATCTAATCAGCTCATCTTTAGCTTTCCTCTTCACGTTTCTTAATCTAAATCTGCTCCCTCTAATCTTCTCCCTTATCTTTGTCAAGTAAGAAGGACCTCAAATCTGAAGACAAAAAAATAAATAAAAATTTTGTTTTAAAGCTCGTCTGCACTAGTGTGGCCAGGGGGGGGGGGGGGGGGATTAGATATCCCTGCAAGGTCACTGAGAGGTGGTTATCTTATCAAATCAGTTCTCAATTAACATAAGAAAAAGGGGATCATGGGGGACCAACAAGCAATGATAAGGCATTGTTTGCTACATAGAGGGCGCAAGTAGCTATAAGTAGTGCAGTGGGGCTTTAATTGACAATACGAGTGATCCGTTTGCCATATGGATGGTAGAGCAATGTTTAAACTCACTCCATGTCTTGCAAACTTGTCCATTCCACTAGAATCCTTCCTGCTCATGCTATCCTGTGCAGGGCTGCTGTGTAGGGCACTAGCTGAACCCCTCCTGGTCTTAGCCGTCACGGCTCCATCAACCACGCCCTTCTGCCCCTCCCTTGGGAAGGTGCTGGACAGTTTAGCAGGGTGTCCGCTCAGGGGACTGGTGCCCCCACCCAGCTTGGTTCGGAAGCGACCGCCAGACTCCAGCTTACGCACCATCAGGCCACTGGAATAAAGAAGCAGATTGATTTATCATTATTCTTGTTTAGATATTTGCAGAGGCTTCACTTAATCGTAATTACGTATTCGTCAAGAGTCATCCACGGCTCAGAAGTGACTAACTTTTCTTTATAAGTGGCCCAAACATTGTGGAGCAGTGTGTGCAGCGCTTTGTAACCGCAAAGAAAAGGCAATACATCAAATATCTTTTGGATTGGATTAGATTGGATTGGAAATATATGTATTAAGTTTACAATGTAAAATAAATTAAGGTAGCTGGTAGATGCTGTTAATCATGGGATCCAATGAACTGAAACGATAATAGAAGATAATCAGACTAAACAAAGATTGCCAGGTATCCACTTTCAGGTGGATTTTAGACTAAAAACATCACAACTGGGACTAAACTATTAAAGAATCGTGTTTACCCTAGGCACATTCGATCTACAAAAAACAATATCCCCTCACAATGTCTCTGTTGCTCTCCCAGCAGCAGTAGCTTGGTTTAAAAAAAGTGCTTTTGAGACTCCCCAGAGTGATACTCAACGATGAGGGATATAATCTACAAGATGAGAGGTAATATTATTGTTTTGTTTGAACCCTGTAATACTTGAGTGAGGTAATCTGGCTTGTTACCTTCACATGCATCATTGTATAAACAAAGACAAGACTAATGTAAACAAGAAACCTTCCTATGCATGAAACTGTCACAAATTTGCAAGTGGGCGCGATTTGCAAACATCTTATGCCATTAAATGACCCCAATTTTTTTTTTTTTACAATTCTTGAGCAAAACAGATAAATCTTCTTACAAAACAGGTCCTACTCACCGGCCGCTCTTGGCTGGGGATGGGTCTCTGCCCTTCAAACCTTTCTGGACAGCTAACCCTGAATCATTTGAAGGGTCCCCGGACTCAGTCTGAGCTCTCACTTCAAATTCTGCACAACTGTCTTCATTCTCCAGATTTTCTTTCTTTTTCCGTCTTTTTTTCTACACATCAAACCAAACAAACAAACATAGATAGGGCACTAAAATAAAAGCTATAGCATTTTGTCTAATTATAGTTTGAAAGGAAATAACAACCTGTCTGAAATCATTCAATTTGTGACATGCTTTTGGAGATTTTTTCTTCTTCACAGCAGCTTGCAAAACAGCTATGAATTCCTCAACAAATGATTAAGTGAGTGGCGATCACATTATACCACATTTTGGGGCAATTCCAAGTTATGTGTTCATTTAGAGACTTTACCAAGAATTATCAAGTGCTATGGAAATGTGAACATATGATTTACATCAGAAGTACGGAGAGCTAAATATGACATGTTCAACCCTAAAGAAATGATTCCTTGCAATTGCATTGTCCAAGGCTCCGACATAGGCGCAATCCCCGGTACACACAGACATTAATCCTGCTGCAGAGGGGCATATAAGTAATTATACTTGAAGCCCAACATCAAGGTAAATCAAGTACGATTTCATATTATTAATTCCAATTTTTAAACTTCCATCAATCCAATTTCATATTATTTAATTTTAATTTTAAAACTTCATCAATCTATTTATCTAATTATTCTGATTTCCCTTGAAGTTGATGTTAAAGTCTTACATCCTATTTTATTCCATCCTTACCACCTGTTTCTTTTTCTTCTTTCCTTCACCGTCCATCTCTGTGTCTAGTTCTTCCATCCCCACCCTTTCGCTCTCCTCTTCTGATGCCGAGTAGCTGGGATTCACTGAGATGTTGTCCAACTCCAGCAAGGAGTTTACAGAGGTGGAAAGCTGATCCTTATTCATTGTGTCTTTTTAATCTGATAATCAACTGTGAATCTGTGAAATAGAATAAATTGTAGTGGTGAGCAATAATAGCTTGAAATCTCTCCCAAAAAAAACTATGGTAAAAAGCAATACAATACATAAAAATTGCCGTAAAAAAAATTGCTCATTTACAGGACAAAGAGAGACAATAAAGAGCTTGCATAAACAAACAAAAATGATTAGGATCTAGACTAGATCTAGTAGTAGTAGTAGTACAATGAGTAATTGTAATGAAACATTACAACAAAAATGCCAAGATTCAATTTCAGATGGAAAATGTTAATTTATAAAAAAAAGAATACCAAAATGATTACCCTCAATCACCTCTGTAACACAAATGAAAACATGTAATGTCAAAATACCCTGCGCGCCCGGGTACACGAGTAGGTGTGTTGCAACATATCGTCATGACTCACTGATTTCTTCTTACCACACAATCTCGCAAGAACATAACATAACCCCTGGTAAACCATACGCACATTGTAACACGTCGGACTACATGAAGATTTAAGCTCATTAAAATTCATTCATTCCGTCATGGAAATTGCACATGTATGCCACAAAATTTGAAAATAAAACTTACACAGGACACTGCTCACAACTGTTCTAAGGCCTCTGGATAGTCAGGATCTAAAGAAAATTACAAATCATCGCAAAATCAGCGTAACTTACTCGGAATTCTTTACGCTTGGGAGGGCCCGATTCTGTTTTTCGTAATCTGATCTGCTGCCATCTATTGACTGACAGGTGTAAGCGTAAAATAATTTGAGATTGAGTGGAAATAACAGAGGGGAATTAGGGACCCTCTTCTCAATTTTACTAATAAAACTTATTCTAAAGCATAACTTGCTAGAGAACCAGAGGAAGGGACAGTTGTACTTCAGCTTGAAGGGTTCATTTCACACTTGATTAATTGAAATCTATCGATCCCATAATATCTCTTTTGGCCCCACAATCATTAACACATTCAGTGCCCCGGCCCCACCCCCCCCCCCTCATTTTAGACAATAATTTCTCTTATACCACCTAGCCCTCTCCTCCCTCCCCCCCCCCCCCCTCTCTCTCTCTCTGTCTCTGTCTGTCTCTCTCTCTCTCTCTCTCCCTCTCTCTCTCTCTCTATCACTTCTCCTTCCCCACCCCACTCCCCTCTCTTGCTCTCTCTATAGCTCTCTCTCTCTCGATCTCTCTCTCTCGATCTCTCTGGGGAAAATATTTGTGCTCATCAATACCTTTATGTACCATTGCATAGGCATCACCAGATTCTGCTAGATTTATTTGATGAACAGAATACACAGGTATTTACACAGTAGGTACTCACATGACAAAAGATACTTTACTTCAATTATTAAAGCTATGAAAATATTGCTTCTTGAAAGAACACTCCGACATCAGATCTATCAAGCAATATCTTGCAAATATAATATTTATAAGACTAAATCAGACACCTAGCTGATTTAGACACACAAGTAGATATCATTTTGAAAAGGTAGATAAATGTAGATGTATGAACAAAACTAAAAGACCAATTTCATTAACCTTGATCTTCACTATTCTAATCTAAGCCTGAACCATCCATATCTTTGCTTTATATCACTTTTTAAGCCAGTGTTTCAAAATATACTTTCAAAAGTTTAATAGTACCTTCAACAGCCATCATCAAGTTAGTTTGTAGCATTACTGATCCTCACAAATGGTCATATTACAAATTCATCACAGTGACAGCAGAAAATGAGTTGCACAATAATATAAAGAGCTAGTAAAACTCTCATATTTTGCAAAGAGTAATTAGATAGCTTTGAGAAAGCAGAAATTTGAAGATTACGATGACCCTTTCAGATTTTTTTTTTCCTTCTCTATCTGCTTTTAAAGCACTTAAAGAATTATTTAACCACCCCCCCCCCCTCCCCCCCCCCCCCCACCAAAAAAAAGAGTATTTGACAGCTGTAAACAAAATTCATCACACAAATGCACTGCTACTACTACTACTGAACTAGGAAATGCCTGATGTTCTTCATAAATGCTTCACACAAAACAAAACAAACTTGATAATACTTAAATTTGCAATATCTTTATGTATTAATAGACAAAATATATATTCCACACAGAACGATGCCACATACATACAAGTATTACCATCAATCAAGTATATTATTTAATTATTTCATGTTCAGCAAAATATTGGTAGTAGCACATCAAGTCATGATATCAAGTCACTATATATTACCCAAAGGCTTACTGACTTCACCAACTATTCCTATTGTTTAACTCATTGAGTACCAAGTTCTCTTATTCCCATAGGCTTAATACAGGGGCCACCCGCTCCCAGTAGGCAATGGGTAAAGGTCAATCACATGGAAATTGTTTTTGCCCACAAAAAATAAACAGATCTGATTTAGTTTATATGAGGCATGAAGGCAGCATTTTGTGAAGCCGTGAAAGAAGTCAGACGAAAACGGAAACCCTTCCACATTTGTCTCTATTAATATTTGTAAGACTTTACCACTTCATGTAGTTTTCATACAATGATGAATAAACAGAACAATTGAACTGAATTGTGTGTAAGATTTCCAAAAATGATTGATAATCCCAATCAATTTTTAGCAATGAACCCATGAATTGTTAGGATTTTATGTATGCCCAAGAAATAAAGCATTCTCACTAAAACATTGCCAAAATACAGTAAAATTAAGAATCACTTGGGTTCATGTCTACATTTCATAAATATAATTGTCACAAATCATATCACATTTTGATATAGATGTTTTAATATATACATTAAAAAGTGAGCAGGAAAATAAGTAATTGTTTTCTTTTTACTTTTCTCTTTAAAAAACAGCCTTACCATGATGGAAGATCTCATTTATAATGATTTTTTTCTGTGAGTAAAAATTATAGTATTGGACTGTTTAAAATACATGATTGCTTGACATGTACAACATGATTATGATACTTCACACAGGCGTCTACTCTAAACATATAAATCATGTCAAATATTGAATAAAAAGTATCATTTTGGGGTTAAAAATTAAATATGCTGTCCGTAGGGTTCAGGTAGTGTTGCCAAGTCGTAGAAGAATATGAGATAATTTAATGTCATGTGATGGCTCTTTTCTCCTATAAACCATAGATTATTTTGAACAAAACAAAAACAAAATCATTCTAGCATTCCAATATTCTCTGTTTAGACGTATTAGATATATGAAAATATCTTTACACCATTCGGGTATTCTGTACTCTCAGAGTACAGATCACAAAGGCCAACATCATATCACAAGTTAAGATTCTATTGTTCATTCATTCTTGTGGTTATCATTTCCTGCAAACATCAGTGATTTAAGGAGCACAAAAAATCACTCTCCTCAACCAATAACAATTACTATTAAACTCCATAAACAATTAAAATCATGGCAGCATCAAGTTAATATTTCATTTGTATTCCATGACTGGAATCATTTGATTTGTTCATTCCACAATAAAATAAACAGCTTCACACTTTGCACCTCTTAAATCAGTGGACCACATGACCACGCAGCATTTAGTATGCCACCTTAATCAATTTTTGACTCAATTGACATGGAAACATAGAAAGGGAAGATGACACTATTATTGCATCATATATCTTTGGATACCAACATAACATTTAACATTACAAAGACCTACACAGATGTTTATGATTAGAAATACATGATGCGATGAATGGGATTATATATATATATATATATATATATATATATATATATATCTCACATCGTTTCATCAAGGTAAGTCTTCATGAAGACAACATTACACTATGTCATGTACAGGGATGCCAGTTAGAATTGATCAGAGGGCCTGAAAATCACCTAGAATGAGCTATTTTGTACACAAAAGACCTGAACTATGGCATGAAAATAAATTGCTAGGGCCTGAGTTGGGGCTTTTGCCTGAAAATTGGCATCCCTGCACGTATGATTTCCACAACAAAAACTTTCATGGATGTTTGGGCATCTCACAGCTTGCAACAGCATGCACATTTCAGTCGATGGCATCGTCCATTTAAAGCCAGACTCATTTACTTCAACACAAAGTGATGCTTTTTTGGCTCTCCATGCAGAAAGAGCTATTAAAGTCCAATTTGTCTGATTTATTCATTCATGTGAGCGTAACGCCATCCTCGTAGAGGAGCGTGGGTGGTTTTGACGGTAAGCGGCGACACAAAGCGGAGAGGATAGAGGGAGCTACCTGGCTTGTCGTTTGTACCTGAAATAGAAGGGATACCAAAAACAAAATTAAGGAGAATATCTGCGTGTACACATATGCATCCAGATTCTACACTAAGAATATATTTTTAAATCATTACATTTTAAGAAATCCACATTTTAATAGAGGTCTGGTAAAACTTTGTGTAAAATAACAGTCAAGTTCTGAGTATGGTAGATTATTTATTTATTTAAATAGGTATATATTTCATGGACATGATTATGTTTTTGTCCTAAATATACACACACAAATTAAAGAAATTGTAAATACATTTGGAATATCATTGGATATAAATAATACCGGTAATGACATTTAAATTGTAAAAATATAGCAAAACGGTAGAAAAATGTTTAAATACATGTATCACAGCAGCCTTTAAGTTCACTGGACTGCATGCCAAATTGCTACACTGGTCAATGTTACCTTTATTTAGATAAACTTGCAATATCTTTACAGTGAAGTAATATTTACAGGAAATATTTTGAAGATATGATACTTACGAGGAATTCCAAAGATAAATAGCAAATCTTACCTGAATTCCTTGCACCTCCAAATGGCTGCTGACCCACGACCGACCCGGTGCTCTTATCATTGACGTAGAAGTTACCAGCGGTATCACGAAGGGTGGAGCATGTGTCCTCAATCACTTTGCTGTTAAAGGAAGAAAGACCACAACAGTATTACATCAGTAAATAGAGCAATGATGATGGAGATAAAGAGGGTAGGTCCACAAAGCTGCCAACCATTTTTATTTGAAGGAATGATTCCTACTTTTTGGTCTTCAAAGGATGTTACAAACCATAGATTACTCTCTTTTTCTGAAAAAGCCTGCAAAATACATGTACATGGTATTCCTTAATTGTTTTGCTTTGTAACCTAGGTTTGAGATGATGATAGTTCATGAAAGGAAAGCATCAATAATACTTGGTAATGGTAATGGTAATGGTAATGGTAAAGGTTTTATTAAAAATTCAATTGCAGCCAAATGGCTGAATTGCAGAATTTTGTACAATGTAAAAACATAAATATTTATAAAGACATAAGTCGTATTAAGACATATTAATGAATTTTCTAAATAAATTAGTGTACACATATATATATATATATATATATATATATATATATATATATATACAAATTAATGAAATTCATAAATTTCGCTACTTCATTAAAGAGGGAGTTGGAACTAAAGAAATAACATGCTGAATTTTTACTTTTGATTATGGCGGTAAAGTTCTCACAATCTGCTGATTCTAATCCCCCCCCCCCCCCCCCCCCCCCCCCCCGTCCATAATAAGTGCAATAAATGAAAAGTAGTTGACACTATGTGAAATAAGGAGGACAATTATTGGAACAAATATAAAAGTTTATGAACATTCATATCGTCTGTTCAGATTCAGAAGGGCATTAAATCTGTGTTAAAGTATATCGGTAAACACCCTCCTCGCTCCAAACAGATGATAAGGAAACCAATGTGCATGTCCTGTTGATGCATTGGAGAGTTAATCAACACAGCTTGAGCATTGCAAGGTTTGTCTGATTTTCTGAACATTTTTGTTATTGTTTTGATAGTTTGTTTGTTGATATGAGGTGACATGTCAGATGTGTGATTGATATAACCTGTAGAAAATTCTGCCCATCATAGTTTCAGCGACAACAACAAAACTAAGACTGACCTGTCTCCGGCAAAGAGGGCACCAGTCAAGGAATAATGTGACGTGGAGTCGATGAATTTCACGATATCTTCATACTTTTCGTCTGGATATACATAAGCAGCGACTACAGGTCCAAAGATCTCCTCTCTCATCATGCGATCGGCCGGATCAGAAACTTCTACCAGGGTCGGCTCCACGTAGTAACCCACTCTGTGAAGAATGATCGAAAGGGAAAGTCCAACTTTTTCACTTGGTGTCCAATAAATTACAAAGTATAACAGAGTTATAAACATATTTGCAGTTGGCATATAACCTGAAACCTTTACACGTAGTAACCCACTCTGTGAAGAATGAAAGGAAAAGTCCAATTTTTTTTTACTTGGGTCCAATAAACTACAAGGTATTACAGAGTTATGAACATATTTGTAGTAGGCATATAAACTGAAAACTATAACAGGGTCGGCTCCACATAGTAACCCACTCTGTGAAGGATGAAAGGGAAAGTCCAACTTTTTTACTTGGTTTCCAATAAATTACAAAGTATTACAGAGTTATAAACATATTTATAGTAGGCATATAACCTGAAACCTCTCCTAGGGTCGGCTCCACTTAGTAACCCACTGTGAAGAATGAAAGGGAAAGTCCAACTTTTTTTACTTGGTGTCCAATAAATATACAAAGTATTACAGAATTATAAACATATTTGTAGTAGGCCTATAAACTGAATACAATCATCAGGGCTCCATTTCACAAAACAGTGACAAATGACAGTTTATGTAATAAGCTACTGAATCCTTGCTTTTGAATGGTTATCAGCAGATTTGTCATTGAAAAAAGGTTTTGTGAAACACTCCCCAGGTCCATGTAACACAAAGCTTACCAATTGATCATACGATTGTGGAAAACAGTTGAATCCACACCACCCCTCTGATAGGAAGTTAAATGGAGGTATTGGCCTTATGTGGAGAAGAGTCGCCACCTTTGTCTCTTGCTTATTAAGAAACCCACTGCACTCTTTCTTCATAAAAGAAAAGGGGAAACCGCAATGTCGTGGCATGACATGCTCATAAGTAATACCGGGAGGAGAGACCAGAGGGCTACAGGGATTTAATTTGCTAAAAGAAGGGGGAATCCCCAACGGGGATGTATATACCTGTACATCCTCATAAGTAATACCGGGAGGAGAGACCAGAGGGTTACAGGGATTTAGTTTGCTTTCCACTGCAAGGCACACAAGACACCAAATACTTATTAATGCTTAATAACAGTGCATACCAGGTATACAGTAACACCTGTCTATAGCGACCACCCAAGTCTTTGTAGATAGGTTCCTTTAGTATTTTCCATTTTCCATTTTCAAAGGAAATCAAAAATGTGGTCTTGGTAAACAGGTGGTCACTAAAGCAGGTTTGACTGTATCACCTGAATAAAAATAAGAAGCCTGGTCCTGACACTTTGGTCTTCTTTTGAAGCTCACTTGGGTCTCCTTTTCTGACTCACCTGTCATCACAAGTTCCACCGGCAAGAATCGTGACATTAGGTGAGCCTTTGGCATAATCCACATAGCTTTTCACTTTGTTGAATGCCTGCAATATAAGAAGTAAAGTCACTGGTTGCTCTTATCATTGGTCTCTCAATTATGATCTTTAGATAATATTTTTTCCTTCATAATGATCACTATCAACAAATGTAAATTTTGTAGATTTGTGAACTCGGTTGGTACGTCCCTTGAAAGACCAATGCCAGTAAATGATGAAAGAAAATAGTGACATAAACGGCCTACCATAGTTAAGTTCAACTTAAAGGTAATACAAAGTTTTGGGAAATTTTCAAAATTAGGTGGATAGTGATTCTTTACAATTTTGATATATTTGGATGCCCCTGTGGATGTTTTAAAGGCACTAGAAAATTTAGCCCCTAAAATACTTCTGCTTTCGAGAAAAATTAAATATAACAATTTACCAGTGCTTCCGGTAAATTTTGATAAATTTCAAATAGCGCCTATGGCCGTACAATGGTAGCTGCGACCATGAAAATCTCAGAATATGTAGTTGTGATAGATAATTTCCAAACGAGAATAGCTAATCGGTCGATTTTAGTCAAGAAACATTGTTTTATAGCTTCATTAATATCTTGACCTTGTGAGGGAGCTATTCAACATAAAGAGTTTATTATTTACAATTTCATAACTTTAGACTCGATTTCAACCCCGACAACGATCACTGAATATTGTAGGATCGCATATGCCTTCAATATACTCATTTGAACCAAAACTTTGTATTACCTTTAAAGTGGATCTTAATATTTGTGAAACACTGCCCTGGTCTAACATGAATTAAGTTAATTCTACCTGGTACGTTGAACACACATTAAAGTAAAAGACTAATCGCTCGAGGTCGGATACCTTCAACATATCCACTGCAGATGGGATTTCTCCTAGACAACACTGAAAGTTTCGTAATGTGAGCAAATTTCTTGCTGTTGAAATGGAGAAAATGGAGATTGTCTGTAACTTAAATTTCTGTTTTTATGCTTTTTTTCTATAAAAGAAGTTAACTTATGTCTGTTACAACTAGATGAACAAAGTATATCTGTTTACAAGTTATATACGATTTTCAATAATATTTCTGGGAAGCAAAATAAAACTTGCGCTTACCGGTTCGTTAATTACAGCGGAGACGAATGAGGTAAAGTCCAGTGGCTACAAAACAAAATTACATAATCAAAATTAGACATAATTTAATAAAACACAGCTCCAATTTCCAAAGTGACAATAAAGGGTTCAAATAATAAAACAGGAGAAAATTCAGGCGACAATATTACATTTTATTTCTTTGGACAAATCTCACGTGCAGCGAAAAGATGAGAAAACAAGTCCCAGGACATCAACCCAATCATCGGAGATTATTCTGGTCATCTTGGAATGAACATTTACATATACATGTACTACCCACCCAAGGGCAGACATTTTGAAGTATTTGGGTGGTAACCGCAATTTGTTAGGTGTGTCTGTGGTAAAAGTGAAATGCACTGTCAGCGATCTACATAACAGCTGGTATATCCCAAGCGGTGTAAATTCCTCACAAGTATCCACAATTAGGCCTTTAAAAAAACAGATGTTGTATTGCCCTTTACTTTAGGTGCCAATACATGGGTCGTTCGGTCAGAAATCTTTTATTTTTTTTATAACTTTTTTTCTTTCTTTCTCCCTCTTTGGGCTTATTTTCTCAGTTTTGAATGCTTTCAATATTTTTTCTCTCTAAAAAACAATAAAAAAAAAAACTTTTTTAAAAAGCCGACCGTAGATTTCAAGATTTTTGGGTCAGTCGCAAAGGGCAATACAACATCTTTTTTTGTAGGCCTTATATGCTTTTAATTTCAACTTACTGATCCCAGTTTAATCTGTTTCTGCTTCTCGATCAACCCTTCCTTGAATGTAGGCCACATACTCTGTGGGACGTAGACTCTGGAGCAAGCAGAGCATTTCTGACCTCCGAACTCGTAGGCAGAGCGCAGCGTTCCGACGACGGCAGACTCCAGGTCGGCCGTTGGGTGGACAAGATGGAAGTTTTTGCCACCACATTCTGATGGGAGAAGACATAAAACAGGTATCTTACAGGGCACCTGTAACAGCTAAAGGATGATACACATAAAATAAACCCTAAATCCTTTACCGGTATTCTTTAGGTTTCCAGTGAAGTAGGATCAACAACAACAAATAAAGAATGACAAAATACCAAGATCACAAAAACCAGTTCGGTTTTGGGTTCTGTTTGCGCCTTCATCTATCCAAGTATTTAGAGGGCACTTTTACATTCATTTAAGTGTTTTTGATCTTGCAAAAAAAAATGTATAGAGGTAACGGCAGAAGCGTACAGCAGCATGAAACCTCTAAAATACAGAGCAAAATATATTTACATCCACATATTAGAGATTGGTCCCCCCTACATCATGGTGAATTCACAGAAAATATTATCTATCTCCGTTTCTGGTAAGAATTCGGTCAAGTAAACTGTTTGCTCTTCCATTAAACATTTAATGAGAAAATAGTAAAGCAAAGTTTTTGTCAGGGTTGCAGGGTTTACTTATTCATGTTTCTATGCGATTCCGCAGTTATTATGTTTCTTTGTTTGTTGTTGTTTTTTTAAAGATGAAAAATTGTATTTCAAGAGGCGATATCGTATTATTATATTTCACTCTTATTATCGTACTAAATACAACAAAATTGTACTAGTTGGTATCTCTGCCACAGACACACCAACGAGACTGACAACAGACTGATCAAACAATGATATTAACTCCAATGGTCAAGAAGCGGTCAGTTTGGAGTCGGTGTGGAGTTGGTCTGGCAGTGTGACTCAGGTATGATGTATAAAGGAAATATCAATGAAAGACAATACAAGCACTTTGATAAAGAAGAAACATCAGGCAGGATCTAACCATCTTACCTCCAGTAATCTTTGGGAAGGTCTTGTAGATGTTCAGATTGTCACCGACCTGCTGCCATAACCTCTTAAATGTTCTAAAAAGAGGAGAAAGATACATGAAATGTCTCTAATGAGAAGACAAATAGGGAAACAACAATTCTCACAAAGAATTGAAAGATATGAATTCTTTATTAATTACATTTAACTTTATTTTTCATATTCAATCATGTAAACAACTTTCTTAATGATTGAATTACTTCATAAAAGAAAGCACAGCAAAACTGTAATACATGTGCAAGTAAAATGTATAATTACACATCTGCACATTTTCATTCTAAAATGATTAAGAATAGTACTGGGAAACATAAATGACAAATTGATCCTCTTCTTGACAAAACACCATACAAAACCTTGATAAAATAATAAATAAACATAGTGGCCAGTATTCATAAAAGAGAAAAAACTAAGTCCAGGATTACACCCCGACTTTAATAGATTAGAGTTTACTCCGCTGACTTATAAAGCGCCAGATGTCTACCTCTTCGTCTCATAATAATCACCATAATTCAGTAACTGGACGAACAAAACAAAGCAAAACATGCTATTATAAAATTGATTCGTCACTTCAATTTTGTGACTTACCCAGTACTGCCACTAAAATCAACGCAAACCAGCCCAGAGCTACTATTCACAGCGTCCCCAGACATAGGTCTATCAGATAGTACAAAGTACTCTACTCTTTTCTTATTATCAACTTACACGGTACTGGGTAAGAAATCAGTAATCATTGACTTACCCAGTACTGCCAGTAAAAGCGACGCAAGCCAAGTCTGGACTGCTGGTGACCGTATCCCCAAAGACAGGTCCATCGGCTGGTACAAAGTTGATGACACCGTCCGGAACTCCTGCTTCTCTTAAGATGTTGAAGACGACGTAGGACGAGTAGACAGAGTTTGGACTTGGTTTCCATACCACAGCGTTACCCTGGAAATTAATAATGAACACTGGATCAATAAGGAAACTCAGTTTACACCGTGCCAGATTGCCACTTGAAACAGGATAAACTTTATTGTTCCATCATCCAAATTTCCTAGGCAACAATCTGGCGCCACAAGTATATTATTCTTCTCACAAAAACTGCTCTGACTTCTCTCTCTGTGTTCTAGCTGTCAAGTAGCGTAATATGGTATCTTTAAAACCAAAACCTACAGCGATTTTAAACTGACTCCAAAATCTACTGGTTTCTTCAAATTGACCTCCAACTGTCGACAAATTGAACAAACAGTGGACTGCTATATTTAACTCTTGTCACACAAACACTGAGTAGTGAACTTTCAACATATTGCTCCAAACAGTAAGGCACACTAGAATTTACATTGGTGGTGGAAACACAGTTGGTTAAGATGGTCAATAATCTTTCATGGAATCAAACCAAATTGACACTGGATGTTCAAGAATAAAATCCACACATGCAAAATGATTTAGTTAGAAAATATAAAAGGGGCTGAGTAACAAGCATACTTGTAGAAAGAGTAAGAAATCAAGGTAGTCGGTCCCGCCCACATAATTACTACCAGTATGTGTTATCTTTCTGAAAGTTTCATAAGCTTGTTTGTATTTTGCTGTTTCAAACCATCTTAATCCATATTAAAATAATCAGTATTATTTTCAACCAGTTTCTCTCAAACTGATACATATTAGGAGACTTTGAGGGTTCAGGGACACAAAGACGTTACTCCATATTTCGCCAAAATGAGTTTTTGATATCAAAATGTTCAGAAAAATGTGGGCTTTCCAGGAATCACAAAGACTTAACTCCATCCAACACCCCCTTGAAATAAATAAATGGCTAGTGAAACATAGACTTAAGTCCTTAAGGGCCAAGTGCTCAGTGACACATATATCACTTTTTCTAAAAATGGTCAAAATGGAGTTACATCTTTGTGTTACTGACCCCTCGACTTCTTCTCTTCAATCCCCTCCTTACCACCATTTTTTTTTTAATTTTCATAAAATGAGCTTTCCGAGTGTTGAGTTTTGAAAATTCCAAAGCTTGTTTCATTACCTAATTTGGAACTGATTCATTTATTCCATGCAAATAAGCCTCAAAATCTGGATGCATCTCTCCATTTTGGTAAGCATGAGAAAGACACAATTGGTCCCAAAGCATCGTTCAACACTTTGGCCTGAATTCACAAAGGAGGTTTGTCAACAAACCTAGGTTTTGGTGCGTCATATGACGCATTTCGACGCGTTTTTACAAACCAGGTCAAAATGCGTCATATGACGTACATAGACCTAGGTTTGTCAACAAACCTCCTTTGTGAATTCGGGCCATTAAGTTTGAGCAGGATATGCCACACATTGCATGGAAAAAGGTTAATACAGTCAAACCTGCTTTAGTGACCACCTGTATGTCTACAAGAACAACATTTTTGTTTACTTTGAAAATAGAATCTCATTTAAACATGTACTAAAGGAAACTGTCTACACAGACAACTTTTTGTGTTTCCCTTGGGCGGTCGCTATAGACAGGTTTGACTGTAATACTACAGGAGTACTCACTAACCATCATTGCAGGAGTGCCAGCTAAGTTGCCTCCGATGGCTGTGAAGTTGAAAGGTGCAATGGCTGCCACGAAGCCTTCGAGACCTCGGCATTGGATGGTGTTCGTCGACTCGGACGTGCTGATGGGCTGAGAGTTTTCCAACCAGTCGAGGGCGTACTGGCCGTGGAAGCGGTAGAAGTCGGCCAGCTCGCAGACGATATCGATCTCGGCTTGGAGGACGGTCTTAGCCTGTGTAGCGGGGGAAGAAGAAAATGGCATTACCGTACAGGTAAGTGCTACTGGTGGTGTAGCAGAAGTCCACCCATGAAGGAGGCAATGGAATGATTGGAGGGGGCACCAGACTTGCTGGGAAAATGAAATTACAGATTTACAAGGCTACTGATTGGAGCGAGGGTGGGGAAGGTAAATCAGATGCCTTGGTTTCTTTAATATCATTATTCCATTTCCCTTTCTCTCATTTCTTTTTCCACTTTTTCTTCTATTGTTTTGTTTCCCTCTTGATTGGCTGGCATGTGCCCCCCCCCCCCCCCTCCCAAAGCTGTTCCACTTAGTGAGAGTCTCACTGGAGCCACACAAAACCCAAATAGTTATTTGGTGAATAATAGTTTAACATGGAGAATAACAAAGATGAAGAATAAAACAAAAAATGTCGAATGTACCCCAATGGCAGCAGGAACCAGGACGTTCCTGTACTAAGCCTAAAGGAACAAAGCAATTCGGCAGTCAAGGGTTACCAAATGAAGATATTCATTTAACATTATTCCTTAAAACTATTTTTTTTTAAAGGCAGAGTATTCCACTGACACTACTTCAGATTTACATATACTGCCATCTGCTGTCTACAATGACCGATGTGTTGACACCCATGTCCCACAATGCATCACCAACTAATTAACAAAACCGGAAATCGCTCCATGTACGCTTTCACCGAGAGATGGCGCAATACACCAGTTTACGGTTACATCAGTGCGCATGCGCAGACATGGGCGCCATTTTAATTGGCTTCGAAAACAAAGCCAATGACCTAGAGGTCATGTATTTATGCGTAAATTAAGATTGCGCCCATGCAAATGATGATGGCGCACGCAACGCAGCGCGTAGGCAGTGATGTCATCAAAATTTGCAAGGGCGCAATCTTAATTTACGCATAAATACATGACCTCTAGGTCATTGGCTTTGTTTTCGAAGCCAATTAAAATGGCGCCCCTAACCGCAAACTGGTGTATTGAAGATAATTATCCACAGCAGTGGTAGCGATGTCGGTAAAATACCCTGCCTTTAAAGGTAAAGACCAGTATTGGAAACGCCCCAATTTCAAAAAATGAAATGGAAGCTCTCATTACCAATCATGTGAAAGAATATGTTTTGACTAATACATGATGATCAAAAATTTGCCGGGAAACCGCCTACTAATTCATATATTTGGTAAATTTGTTTCTCTCATGGTCTGTGAGAGATATAGGGTAGTCCCATATACATCTTTCTGTGTATAGTGCTTGTAACTTTACGAAGAATGGGCCAAATTTCTTATCATTTTGATGATTCCAGAACCTTGCAGATGCTAGATGCTAGATGATCAACCTTTTCTTATCGATTCCACAACGTTTCTTTCACAATGCAATCGCATGACCATAACTGGTCTTTACCTTTAAAGACTTTGAATTACCTGTCCCATCATACAGCTAGCGGCAAGCTCCGCTCTGTATTTACCACAAGCCAGATCTGCAGCCTTCACAAGAATAGCAACCCTCTCCTGCAGCGGTCTCCTATCCCATTCATCTCTGGCCTCCAGCGCCGTTTTGATGGCCGTCTCAATCACCATCTGGAAAAGATAATATTATCCTTTGAATTATGAACGTATCCACACCAAGGGATCTTCAAGGCAGCAAGTTCACCATCTGAAAATGACAAGGTCTACATCTATAATGCTTTCATATCTAACCTTGGCCTAAGGGGTGCTCAAGATGCATACAACAATTCCTTCTACTATGGTCTTTTAATGGTTGTAAACCTTTAACTTGAGGTGGCCTTACCGGTATATTAAAGAGTCAATAGGTTATATCTTGTGAGATACCAGGATTAATGTCCCCAACCAACTCAAGCATTGTAGCGGTTATTAACGTTAATTTTGTTGGATTGGCATGTGTCGCCTGGCCCCTGGCTGGAATACTCCCCAGGGAGCAGAGCATGTGCACTATCATATGTGGATACGCAATTAATCCAATGATTAAGGTAATGATAATTATGATGTAAAGGGCTTAGAAAAGTAGTAATAAGCGTTATACAAATGTGACTTTTATCATTATTTGCCATCATAGATTTCAGCATAAAAGGCATACACTGAGTACTATATTTTCAAGTACTCAAGCTTGTGGCATTAAGACCTGCAAGTTGGTGTTATGCAGTATGAATTTGATTTCCAAATACATGCTGGTATATCAGTGTACAGGTAAACAAAAACAAATTTAGGAATAACTGCAGTAACTACAAGTAGTCCTAACCCTGGCCCAACACTGACCCTAACCTTGACCCTAACTATGAACTGAATCCTAACCTTAACCTTATAATCCTAGCCATGAGCCTGAACCAAACCCAAATACACTTTACTGAAGCTTGGCAGGCATTCTGCATTTGAGCTGAAATACATGGTGCAGCAAAGCTATATGTTACATAATACATATGGATCACTTGAAACATATAATTGCAGCAGGCCACAATTAAATATACTGGTATTTATTACATCAACAGTCTTCAACAGATGTTCAATTTCCAGTGCGTTATGAAATATCTCAGGCAAGAATATGAGGAAGTGGTCTCCATAATACAGCTTCCTGCTGACCTCCTTGATCTGAATTTAATTTGCTTTTTAAAACCCTAGACATACACACTGGTACATACAGAAAATACTCTATTACTCATTTCTAGGGGGTGTTTCACAAAGATTCTAAGTTGAACTAATCTCTAAGTTGGACTTAACAGTTATGGAAAGCCGTTGGCATCTATGAAAATATTTTGTAAAAGTTATTTTAAAAGGCATCAAATGTTGATTCAAATCATTCATATTTTCTATTATCAGGGAGATTTCATGTTCTTGATGTAGCATTTATGAAAAGTCTAAAATGCTTCAATTTTTGCTTTTGAATATATTTTATTTTAAGGCTACAAATAGCTCTTCATGAAGTTCACGTTAAACTTAGAGTTAAGTTCCACTTAGGATCTTTGTGAAACACCCCCCCCCCCCCCCCCCCCCCCCCCAGCTGACCACATAAGCCAGGAGCTCAATCACTCATGCACTTTAGTCACCATTAGCATGACACACCGCATATATGTCTGGTAATCAAATGACATTATTGTCCTAAAAACTTAGCCTGGTGGATAACAGTATGAAATTTCCTTCACTTTCACAAGCCTATACATGTAGCCATAGTTTTTCTTATTTTAAATATTTTATTATTTTTAACCTACAAAATCAGGGCCAGCATTCAGTCAAATACTCATGTGCAAGTCAGAAATATGAATATTTTATTCAACGTATCATTTGTTACAATTTCTTTACGTTTTGATCAGTTCTTATAATCCTTGCTTAATTACTTCAATTTTCTTTCATAATGTAATCACATGACTGGTAGTTGACTACTTGACTTTATCTTGAAGTTACCAGCCTTGCATGACCCACTGCATACTTTATGGAGAGTATATGGAGAGTCACATGACACTGTGAACCGTGTGTGATGGGTAACAGTATACATGTCTAGGAATGCAATATCAGTATCATAATCCTCAACCGCCAGACCCAATCTGTACCAGCACCATACAGCAGTGACGTTTACAGACCCTCAACTGGCCTAAGGAACAATGATTCATACTAGCTTACAGTGACCTGAATGTGGTTCAGTAAGAAAATCATGTTTTGGGGCCCTGGTTGGAGTTACAGTATGTGTGTAGGGGAAGGGGTGGAGGGTGGATGTTGGAATAAAGATAAATCTTTTGAGAATGTGTTGTGCATTCCCGTGTGAAACCTGATCATATAGTTCCATTTAAAGGTCTGCTAACCATAAGATTTGGCTGCAGGTTGTTTTTAGGGGGATTGGGGAGGGGGAGGGGGCAAATTGCCTTTTTGATGTCCTTCAAATACGCTACTGTATACTAGTACTAACAAGGGGAGAAAATAACAGGTACACAGGTGTAGTGAACAATTAAACCCTGAAAAGTTTTTAGAACTCTAGAAACTCAAAAAGGGTTCTTGTACCAGTACTGGACTTCATCTCTAACCCTTTTAGGACAGGATTTATTTTTAGAATTAAATTGATCACATATTGTTCTTCAAATTGGCAAAAATAATATATTTCTTGTAGTGCTACAATGTACATTGTGAAAATAAAATGTAATGTGTCTTTTAGGCTTGTATGTTGTTGAAAAGTTGGACGGAAAAAAAAACAATGATTTTGAATCTGTTAACATGTTGCCAATTTAATGATTTTCAAGCTAATTCTACTTTTTTATTAATTCCTGGCATCAAAAGCAATATCGTCATGCAAAAAAAATCAGCGTGTGCAGAGATTTTGTCAATTACTCATGCATCCGACATACACTTGGGTCACTGAATAAAAAGTTATTGAGCCAAACCACATAATGTGGAATGTTTGTCACAAAAGGATTCAAACTGAAAACAGGCTTACCTTGTCAGCATAATGTACTTTGCAAAGCACGTGCTGATGATCAAAAGGCTGTGCAGAAAGAAAGGAAAAAAGACAACAATAAATAGTTAATATATGACCTGCGAAGGTACACAGAGTCTAATAGAGGCAGATAGATACAGTTGACATGGTACAAAATGTGTTGGGAGAGGGAACAAGTTAAAGAATTTTTGCAAACCTCCTGTTTTTTTCTTCTGATTCTACATGTATAGCAATTCTTTCTTAATTAACACTAGTTTTATACACTGTAGATAGAAAAGGTCAAAATCTTTTCCTCAAATAATGGGCAATACAATCAACATTCATTGTTACATGTAGACTATAGTTTTGTATTTCTTTTATTTTGTCCACGGATATGTCAGGGAGCAACCACAGGCTGAATAAAGGTTATAACATGCATGAAATAAAAAAACATGAACATGAAATAAAACAATGGATAATACTAAAGGTACAAAACCTCTGAAAAGATTAGAATGTGACCATCTTCTACAGGGAATGGTTTGGAAAATCTTGCACTGACTGGAAGAATCGAGGAGAGGAGCAGTAGGGGTAGAAGGAGGATTCCGTGGATGAGTAGCTTAAGGAGTGGGATTTCTGAAAGTGGAATTGATCTCGGGGAGAATGAATTGTGGCATTCCATGGTCCCCAACGTCTCAGGACATGGCACGTAAAGAAGAAGAATCATCTACTTGACAACAAAATATGAGAGTCCATGATACATCCTGAGTTCATTACAGGGCCTTATCGTAGGAATGCAATTGGAGACTTACCGCTACTTCTGTTTCTGTGTTTCCAGTAAAGATCTCCTTTCCTCCGATCACACAGGGAATGTCTTCTTGAGTTCCCCATCTCCTCTTCAGAGACTGAAATAAATGATAAAAACCATCAATTAGACATCCTAACAAAAGGTATATCTCAACCTTAGTGTTGTGGTGGGTGAGGGTGGGGGAGGGTGGGGGAGGGTGGGGGAGAGTGGGGGAGGGTGGGGGAGGGTGGGGGTTGAGCCAGTGATGACCAACATACATGTACTTTTGGAAGAAAATTGCTTTCCAGCAAAAGAGGGGGAGGTGGAAGGGGGTTGCTTTCTTTGGAATTGGGTATGAAATTGTGAAAATATTGACAAAAGATCGGCAAATTTTGCAATCTTTTGCGTCCGTTCCGAAAAATTATCAACTTACCGATAAGGGTCTGAAAATCTTCAATTTGAGAGCAGATTTCCTCAAAATTGTAAGTAAAAAGTGGTACCAACTGATTGTATGATATCTTGTCTTGCAAATTATGATATTACCTTATTTTTAATGGATCGCTTTTTTTGATAAATCAACTGTAAACCCCCGTGCGTGAACTTGGGTCTCGTTGTTTTTATGACTTTTTTTGATGCAGCGCGCACGCACGATCGGACATCGAATTTATAGATCGCGATATCTCCGAGATCCTTTGACGATGAATTTTCTATTTGAACAAATTTGTAGCAAAAAACTTTGCCGTCCATTCGGTAATAATTGAAAAAAATAAATATGTGTATAATATGAGAAATCATAGATCGAATATCACATTTTGTAATATGTTCTAAACTGTCCGCGAACTTTGGTCACCCCTTCATACAATCTCTTCTTGACTGTAACTTTAATATGATTTTGATTCCTATATAATAATAATAATTATCCTTGCTTATATAGCGCCTAACACTTACTTTATCAGAAGACAGTCTCTAAGCGCTCTACAATAATGCAGCATGATTACCCTGGCTTTAGCAGTGCAGCTGTTACGCGCGCTGCGTTTCAGGGAATAAATTCCTACCAGGTACCCATTTACTTCACCTGGGTGGAGTGTGGCAAATGTAGATCAATGTCTTGCCAAAGGACATTAGTGCGGCGGCGGGACTCGAACCGCGGACCTTGTGAACGACAGTCCGGCGATGTATCCACTCGACCACAACACCTCTACATTCATTGCACATTTAAATCATATTTTTAGCAAGCACAGTTTCAGTAAAACTTCACTTAACAGAATGCATAGAATACATGGCTAGTGTGTTTTGTTTGAGGACCTTTTTTGATTGATTTCAATTCTAGACCTTTTCATTTTCATCCAGTAAAAATTCACAATTCTGTGATTCAATTTTTAAAAATTAACAAACAAAAATCAGGTCATTATGTTATCATTATGTTATTATTTCATTATGATTTGCATAACTGATTGTGTCACTTCATTTATTACATAATTGCAGTAATTCTTAAAGAATATTAATTATAATTATAATATAAGCAGTGGACTACCGGTATGTTAAACCAGGTTTTATAATCCACCTTTATAAACAGCTTATAGGAGCATCAGATACCGTATGAATTCTCCTGCTACCCCTTCCTGGCAGACATACAATAAGGCCATCATATTAAAAGCATCGTTTAAAGGTAATACAAAGTTTTGGTATGGGGTCATGAATTTGGTTCAAATGAACATATTGGAAACATATGCGATCCCACTATATTCGGTGATCGTTGTCGCGGTTGAAATCGAGGTAAAGTGATGAAATTGTAAATAATAAACTCTTTCGATGTATAGCTCCCTCTCAAGGTCAAGATATTAATTTAGCCATAAAAAAATGTTTCGTGACTAAAATCGACCGATTGGCTATTCCTATTTAGAAATTATATATCACAACTACATATTCTGAGATTTTCAAGGTCGCAGCTACCATTGTATGGCCGAAGGCGCTATTTGAAAATATCGAAATTTACCGGGAGCACCGGTAAATTTTCATATTCATTTTTTCTCAAAAGTAGAAGTGTTTTAGGAGTTAAATTTTCTAGTGCTTATAATACATCCACAGGGGCATCAAATTATTTCAAAATTGTAAAGAATCCCTATCCAGCCAATTTTCAAAATTTCCCAAAACTTTGTATTACCTTTACAATGTTAAATCTGATAATGCATGGCCCTACAGTGTACATGGTATAGTGTCTGTGATATGGTGTAATATTGAAGCCCTAACAAAAATTGCGCTTCAAAATGATCATGAAGTGCCTCAAAAAAGGAAAGATCTGTGAGTGACCGGTTTTACCATACTCATTTTCCCCAATAGACTGTAGTGTTATAAAAAAAACCAGTAGGAAAACGAAAAGTGAAATTTTGATTTCCAATCATAAATATCTTGATAATCAGACAGGCGATCGGCTTGTAAAAGTCATGGGGTTCCTGACTGACCTAAACTAAAGGTTTATAATTATCATTGCAGCATGAGCTAAATCCAGGATATTGTTTCAGAATCTGAGACAAAGTTACCCAATCCCTTTAAACAAACTATCGTTTATATTCAAACCCTTGGTGCCTGGAGCGGAATATACTCAGTTCCAGTTCCTTCACTTGACGTGGTAAACTCATTACGGATCAGCTGGCAAAATAATTAAACTCTGGTATTACAACAGAAAAAATATACAATGTACAAAGCATTGTATCTCGAATTCTCAATGATATTCTTTTCAAAATAAAATGTACTACATGTTGGTGTCATAAATTGCATACATGTGTACAACTGTACATGCACGTAGTTCCTACGATATAGATACAATCATGCACAGCACATCACAGTGTGATATTGTACAAGTTGTTGGCATTTCTTTCTTTCTGTCTTTCTATGTCAATCCTGTGGCTGATCCCTATATTGGGAATAAATACAGCAAAAACCCATTCTTTAGTAATCTCTGACCTCAATCTATCTATTGACTATATCCTTAAAGTTAATCAGTCAAAATAAGAGAACTGGAATATCTTGGTACTGCAGAGTGATTTGTTATTTTTGCCTGGAAAGACACTACGGTATGTTAAACAAAACAAAATGTTATAAAATGAGTTTAATGGCCAGGGCTCCGTAACTTTAATACAATCAACAGGAAGAATATATTGTATCTCACCATGCATTGTATCTAATTCACAGAGTATCTGTAAAATTGAATAAATCGTTGATGAAGATAAAGTGTGGGGCAGATGCAGTAGACTGTACATGTAAATGTAACTTTATTACTGTTGCTGCTAACAAAAATAAACAATACCGGTAGATGCTACAGGTTTGAAACTTTGAAGCCTTTCCTATAATCTGATCACCAAATTCACACATATTACTTTGATAGACCAAGGAATAGTAATTCCAGCATGATTGCCATGGTGTGCAATGTCAGGGGGTGTGCAACAAAGATCCTAAGTTGAACTTAACTCTAAGTTGGACTTAAAAATTATGCAGAGCCATTTGTAGCCTTAAAATTAAATATTTCCAAATGCAAAAATTGAAGTATTTTAGACTTTTCATAATTTCCACATCAAGAACATGAAATCTCCTTGATAATAGAAAATATGAATGATTTGAATCAAAATTTTATGCCTCTTAAAATAACTTTTACAAAACATTACAGAAATGCTAAATGGCTTTCCATAATTGTTAAGTCCAACTTAGAGATAAGTTCAACTGATCTTTGTGAAACTTCTAAACTCACTTCTTCGACTGCTTTCCTTTCAGAGCTGCCAGGCGCATAGTCTAGGATCGGCTCGTTTACGGCAGTAAAGCTGCTGGCCGGTGTAATGTGCTGTGATAGTCTGGACTTGCTCCTGCAGAAAAGAAAAGTTGAACGTTATTGACAAGATAAGGCAAAATAGCAATATTCCTGGTTTCTCGTCCCATCCTCCATTCTTATTCCGCACTCCTCGATATGTCTGTTATTGCCATTTTCGTATTGAAATCAAATAAATAAAAATCTTCTGACATCTAGACATAGACAATGAAGTTGACAAAAATGATCTTTCTGCAAATTTTACCTTGTTTTAAGCCTCCGTATTGGATGTAAAAATAAAATTGAATTACTGGTAACAAAGTTTGTGTTGAAATTGACCCAACAGCATTTCTATGACCAGAAACAATTTGAGATCTCAAATAACAACCCCCTCCTCCTACTGTGCTAGATTTTTAAAAAATCCAAATGAGAAACTAGGTATTGATTTTTGAACTTTGCCTTTAACTTATGTTCATTGTGACAGTAAAATAAAATTATCAGGTTTAAATACACCTCATGGAGATACAGGTACATGTAAGCTCTATCGGAATAATGAAATGGAATGACAATTTGGCAAAGGCTTATCTACAATTTCCCATACCACTACCAGATGGTTACTTCTGTCTACCGTAATCAAATTAATAAACCCACATAATTGTTGTTGTTTATACTTTTTGCCATGATCATCTGATCATATTGGTTGACAATTTTGATTTCTTATATTGGTTAAGCTTTATTACGGGGTTATAGATCATCATCCATTAATGATGCATCATAACCAACGGAATCAGGGTTTAAAACAGTGATTCTTGTCAATGTCATGCATGTGAAATTGTGTCCTCATTTAAACATTCATCTATCTAGTCGATCTAGCATGCATGTCTAACTTTAGTGATAATATTCTATCAATGACATGATGGCCCTGTATATGTATCATGTGTATGTGGGATTCATGTATCTATAACACCATATTAGTTTCCATTCATCTCTCATATAGAAAAGAAGACATGATCGCCTTCCATACGATTCAATCATTATTTATTATGATTTATTTGGCACTTTCAAAAGAAACAAAACCAGGAAACAATATACAATATCCATAGGACATAGTGAATGAAATGAATACAATAATTCGACGCTTGCGCAATGGACCAGGTAGCCTACAAGGAACAGGTCAACTTAATGTCCATGGCCAACAGGCCTTCCTTCTCAAACCTGATCGGAGGCACAGACATCTTAATACAACGTAGAATAAACTCACATATTTTTTTTTTGAATTAAAATGTGACAGAAGTGACAATACCTAGATTACATTCTCCCTGGGCGCCGTACGATTTTTCATGTGTTTTGGGGGGTATCGTAGGAGGCTACGGGCTACGATGTTTGTGTTTACATTATCTTGCCAATTCTTGTATTGACCCTCAGGGGAAGGTGCAGTGACTGTGCACCCGCGTGCTGTTTTTGAGCGTTTTTTTTGCCCCCATGTTCACCGAAAAATTGTGCCTTTGCTGCACGATCAGCGCGAGGCCTCCATGCGATGCCCTTGCGGGAAATGTGCAGTGCCACCTACAGCATATGTCTACGGGCTACGGGCTTACGATTTTTTATAACTTCCTGCGAAACAAAATCATAAAGGCGGGGGCCACACGGAAAAGGGGATACAGGCAGGATACAGGCTCCGTAGATTTATCGCAGGCCAAACGTAATCTAGGCATTAACTGCATCATAAAGTAATAGCATTTCATGCCAGATAGAGAGATGGAGAAGAGAATTAGGGAGAAGACAGAAGAGAGAGTAGAAAAGTAATAACTAATACCACTGAATACCAGACAGAGAGTGGGGGGGAAGAGAAAAAACAGGAGAGAAAGAGCAGAACAAAATATGGAGACTGCAAAAAAAATAACGACTTCCGGATCGATCATGACTGTGATGTCATTTATTTGCATAACATTGTGTTACTAAAGTTGTATTTTAAGTCACCATTTACAGAAATAAACAATAACAATTTTAAAATGCCACTCCGCTGGCCGCTGTTTCACGTCTAGGCCTAGACCGAATTTTCCGTCTCTTTCGTTCGTTAGCCTCTTATTGGGGTAGGGTCGGCTCTCTCTTTAGAGACGGAAGCCGTTTATACACATGTCCTTGCTAACGCCACGGCCAGTTCTGGTCGTAGCGTTTTGCCCCCAAAATCCCCCAAAATGTCATTTTACCTCGAGCATGTTATATTGTAAATTAGGCCTAGGCTATAATAAATCAGTTCCACTTACCAACTTGACTGAAATAATCAGTTTAATAGTCCCTTTTTAGGAAATTATGGGTCAAAATCGAAATCCATTTTGAAAATCTTTTTCAACATGGATTCCGATTTTGACCCATAATTTCCTAAAAAGGGACTATTAAACTGATTATTTCAGTCAAGTTGGTAAGTGGAACTGATTTATTATAGCCTAGGCCTAATTTACAATATAACATGCTCGAGGTAAAATGACATTTTGGGGGATTTTGGGGGCAAAACGCTACGACCAGAACTGGCCGTGGCGTTAGCAAGGACATGTGTATAAACGGCTTCCGTCTCTAAAGAGAGAGCCGACCCTACCCCAATAAGAGGCTAACGAACGAAAGAGACGGAAAATTCGGTCTAGTCTAGGCCTAGTAAAAATTCAGCATTCACTTCTACTGAGTAGATCTACTACTGTAGTCTGTAGACTCTACTGCACTGTCTTACTGACTTCACTTCATTTCACTGACTTAGCTGTTGAGTAGTGCATGCATGCTTTATAGATCTAGATCTAGTTGGTGACTTACGTCGAGAGAATTCTGTTTAACAGTCCGAGACCGACAGCTTTTCTCGCAGGAAGCATGTTGAAAAATTCACTCCAATATCAGGGGAAAGATCAAACAAAAGTCTGAAGAGTTCCTGTATTTTTTATTTCGCCAGATCGTAAATATATGCTCTGGTGTCGACGGTACGCGGTAAAGCTACGTTAGATGTGCATGTGATGTACGACGAACGCATATGGTTGGCTATCGCCTTCATAACGCGTGCCTAGACCGTACGCGTGCCTGTCAGAGCGTACGCGTGGTTCTGTCAGAGCGTACGCGTGGGTCCATCATAACGTACGCGTGGTTCTGACAGAACGTACGCATGGTCATTTTCTATTATACTTCTATGTAAATCTTAACGTACGCATGGTTTTGGCATAGCGTACGCGTGTTTGTGTCATGTCATACGCGTGGTTGTGTCATATCATACGCGTGGTTGTGTCATTACGCACGCGTGGTATTGTTATTACGTGTGCATAATATAGTCATAACGTACGCGTGGTTCCGTCATAACGTACGCGTGGTTCTGTCATAGCGTACGCGTGGTTCTGTCATAGCGTACGCGTGGTTGAATCGTAACGTACGCGTGGTTCTGTCACAACGTACGCGTGGTTGTGTAACTTTAAACACAGATGTTGGAATGGCCAATCAAATTTCTCGTTATATTCGTGGCACAGGCCCGAGTGTTCCCTGTGTTTGAGGGTGATGCGAAGAGGGAGGGAAAAGGGAAATATAATATGGTATAGTTAGTTACCTGATTTACAATCTATCTTTCACAACTTACTCTTAATTGCAAATTAGGTGAATATATATACTACGCAACAGTGCCGTTGTGTTAATGTGTAGGCCTATGGTCCAGTGTAGATATAGCGTTGAAACAACAGAGTATAATACATGCACTGTATGTTATGTGTAGTATCTCTCCCTTATCTTTCTGTACAGATGTGCTTGGTAGGGGAACACACACACACTCTCTCTCCCTATCTCCCTCTCTTTCTCTCTCTCCCTTCCTTCCCCTAGTATTCTCGTTCATTCTGTGTTGTTGAGCTATTACACTCTAGGACAAGGGGATTAGTGGTAGGAGGCATGTTTGCTTAAGAGCTCAGATTGTAAGTTGGAAACACTGAGTTTGCATTTGCCAGGCATAAGGGATTGTCTGAACAGGGAGGTGTTTTTATTTGCTAGTTTCAATAGAATAAACCTGCTAATAATAGTTGTATTTGTATTTCAAGATCAATATTCTTTATTCTATAATTCTGGTCTTGTATATAGTTCATGATTATTCTTTTCTGTTTATGTGTCATGGGTAGTCTAAGCATAATAGTGGTGCATTAATTAATAGGACTGAATCATGCAGATCGATGGTAGTATTGATTGATAAGCTCGTTTTCCGAAAACGATATTAACACCGGAGAATACGTATATGCTGTGTGCTTGAAGGATACAACATATTGTCTATTATCCTCTCAGATTTATATTATATTTCTATAAATATGAGAGGATAATAGATAAGCATTTTGACCTGGATGGTTAGGGGTTATCGGGATAGGCGGAGGGAGAGGGGGGGTGGGTGGTAGGAGGGGCGCTAATTAATGTGATATGAAGGGGGTTTATAATACCTACTTCGTTTAAAGGGTTTTTATTAATTATGAACAATGGGTATAGGAATAATTGTTTGAAGGTGATGAGCAGGGGTGGGCATAGTCATGTAGCCTGGTTGGTCAGGGGCTATAGCGTGAGGGGGGGGCGGAGAGGGGCGTTAATGGGATTATGAAGGGGTTTATAAGTTTCAAGATTTTTTTAAATATTAATTATGAACAACGGGCAGGATTGTTTGAGGGTGATGAGAAGGTAGCTAGCTGGTTGGGCGGGGGTGGCGCTAATGGGATATCATTTAAGGGAGTGGGATATAATGGGATGCGGTGCCGGGGAAGGGGGCGTTAATGGGATATAAAAGAGTGGGATATATAATGGGATAATGAGAGAGGCCGGGTCCCGGGGAGGGGCGTTATGGGATCGATATAAAGGCGTGGACATAAAGAAATACTGGGATATAAAGGAGGTGGAGGGGGAGGGGTAGTGGGTGCCCGGGAGGAGCATTAATGAGATATAAAGGAGTGTATATTATAGGATTTCCCGGCCAAATTCGCGTGTTTGTCATTCGAATTCATTTACTTTGCATTTAAGTTAGCGCAGATCGGCTTTGCCATGCCAATCATCATTCAATTT